GCCAGGTCGAACTCGTTCACCGCGATCTTCCCGGAGCGAACAATGATAAGGGTGATTTGCTCATTCGCGAGACTGGCAGCGGCCGCCGGACATGGCTATTGTTCCCCCCTATGCCCATGTCTGTGATCTCAGGCCGTCGCGGTGAAGCAAGGTACGAGCTTGTCCTCATGGTACAGGGTACCCACAATGGCCGGCAGTGGTACGAGCTGCTGAGCCTCGTCACGGACAACGATGATCAAGTGTACGACTGGCTCGACATTGTGGGGACCACGCCTGTTCCCCCCCAGGATCGTCTCCCTATTGTTACTGAGGAGAGCCTTCCCAAATCACCGCAACACAGAATGGACGTACCCGTTGGTGGCAAGCTTCATAGCTTTTCTTCGAGAGATACGTCCTCACCAGAGCCGATAACGCCAAGACAATCAACTCCCGGTCACTACCACAACCGTGGTTCGAGCATGCCGACCACACCCGTCAACCATAATCCCTCGCTCGAAAGAACACCGACTCAAGACTCGTACAGCGACGGCGAGGGCAGATACAGGGCCGCGCCCAACACAACCCCCTTTCGTGAAGATGGTGCTCCCCCTCCCCCTATTCACCGCTCACTTGGCCCCAAACCTCCCAAGCTGCAGCCTCCTGTCGATATTCAGAGCCCTCGTGTGAAGCGTCGAGGGTCTTCCCCCTTGAAGCACGAGTATCTGCCGTCGGAAGAGTCATCCGACACATCTCGTTCCGTCACCGAGATTTCCGAAAGTGAGACGGAGACAGAGTCCGATTATACTTCATCTGAAGATGAGTTCGACGAAGATATACCTGAGACCGAGGTGGGCTTTAGCATTAGGGAGCCAGAGCCACAACCGGAATGGGAGCGTGAGCGTGAGCGTGAGCGCGAACGTAAACGCGAACATGAGCCCGAGCCGGAGCCTCAGGATTTTGAAGACTCCTTTCAGCAAGAGTTGACGACCTCACAGCCTTTTGTCCAAGATTCGATGGTCTCTGAGTCCGTGTGCAGCCTGACGCCATCCAATTCGGCGTCACAAGCCGGGCTCCACGGCCGCAAAATGAGCGTGTCGGAGAGCTATACTAAATACATCGCTTCCGTTTCATACTGGAACGAAAAAAAGGGCCAGTGGAAGGACATTTCCCTTGAGCCTTGCTCTATCCAGGTTGCTGCCGGGGTTATCGAAGCGTACTCTTTGGTCATGAGCCCTGGAGGACAACCTGATGTTCCCCTCGTCTCCCTCGAGCTCACACCCCTCGTTCTCCTCCGGCAGTCTACTGTCGTCGACCTTGAAATCCGCTCCGCCGTCAAGGACAACTGCAAGAACAGGGAGATTGGCGGCGGTAACTTCCGCTTCCGCTGTCCGTCGAGCACAGAATGCTTCAACCTCTATATGGCCGTCCACCACGCACGCCTCAACAACCAAAAGTTCATCCAGCTTGAGAACGAGGCGCGCTACAAGTCCTTTGGCGAGAGGCCCACTGAGGACCACGAAGATAACAGCAGCCACCGGCGTAGCTGGTTCGGCCGCAAGAACAGTTACCGCGCGTCGACGCGCGCCCCCTCTCAGTCTCATGACGGCAGCACTCCGTCGTCGAGTCTGTCCGCCACCAGCTTCCTCAAGCGACTCACGGGCGCCGGCACGTTCAATATTGCGCGCTCGTTCATCGATAAACAGGGACACTTCTCCAACACTAATAGTCTCTACACGTCCGGATCTTCATCCGAAGGCTATCCCCGCTCGCCATCGATCAGCATCTACTCCAACTCCATTCGTAGTCCTCTGTCGTCGGACAACATCAAAATACGGCTGCATTTGCTCGTTACCTCGACTAAGTGGGAGGACTACGGCAACTGCCTGCTACAGATCCGCCGACCGCCGCCGGGCTGGCACCAACAGCTGCGCGCGAATCATGGTCTGGAGAAGCGTGTCACCGTCACCACCATGCCTAAGAAATCAGACAAACCACGCATCGTGCTCGACGCCGTGTTGGGCAGCGGCTGCTTCACACCCATGGGCAGCAGAGGCATCGTTTGCGGTATCTGGGAGGAGATCCGCGACGAAAGGGGCGAGATCGGCGTGGCACCTAAGACTGGTGGTGCATCGGGCTCGGTCAAAAAGTGGTGTTTCCAGTGTGCCAGCGTCGCCGAGGCCTCGTGGGTGTTGAGGCTCGTTCATCAGGAGGTGGGTGTCGAACTCCAGGAATGAAGACTGTTTTCTTTTCTGTCTATAGCATCATTGCTTCATTCCTTTCCTTTTTCTTTTCCTTTTTCTTTTCCTTTTTCTTTTCCTTCTTTTGTTTTCATCATGATTCCCCCACGAGCGTCGGTTCACTTTCATGCATTGCTAGTCCTGGCTTGGGCGTCTGGCTTTAGGATGGTGGCACAGCGTGATTGCCCCGTCTTTTTGGTGTTCAGAGGCAGATGGTAGGCCGGATTTTGCCGCAGGGTTATATACACTTATGGTTAGGACCAAGGGTACTTAGAGGGACAGGCTGGTTTTTTTGTTCAGCGCATTCTTATGATACCGAAGTTTTTCGCGGGTAGGCGTGTTGGGATAGCGTGTACGTATATGTAGGAGATACGTTTGAAGAACCAATGGTTACGGCTCGCTTTCGTTATGAAGGTTTTCGGCCATCCAAACCATCCCGGTGCTCCCATCGATATCGATGTTGTTGATCTAGGCACATCCCATTAGACTTGAGACTCAAGGGTAGGCACACTTCCAACAAGCGAGAGGCATACGCTGCAACCGGCAGCGAGCTCATGGCTACCTATCTTATGCATTCCACTAATGCCCGGTTGGGTTGACGGCACCGGCGTCACCATATCCCAGCCATCCTAGTGTCTCAGGGCAGCTCTTGACACTGGCTTCTATCTGCTCAGCTAAGTTATGAGAGAGTTGGATTGGTTGCATCATTGGCGTAGCTACGATACTACCTCGGTTAATCGGGTTTAGGACCAGCATTATCAGAATGTGCTTGGCCGATGACTGGATGCCCCGTTCGTGGTTTCGATATAAGGCGATGGTGTGTGTGGCCTGTTCCCATTTTCGTGAGAATCAAGTGTTCCGGACCTTGTGCCCTGCCGCTTGGACGGTACCACTGTTGAAAGCCAAGAGGGTCAAGTTAAAACTTGCCCGTGTCTCCTCATCGCCAAAGGTATAATTCTGTGCGAGCCTGTAAACTAATAAAGGCGTTTGGGGGCAGCAGGGAGCCCGAAGCAAGACGATGAATCAGTATACTGACAATCGGGTCGAACCTCCCAAGCCGCACGAGTCTCATGCTCGGCATGCCGACATTTGGATCGGAGTTCCGACGGCTAATGGCCTCCACGGGCCTCGTTTAGCGTCCACGGCAAGAGGCAAGTCATCCCGGTGCGGCGATGTAATCGTGTTGTAAAAGCCTTGAGAAAATTGGCTATGGTCTAAATTGGCTCAAGACCCTTGCCCGCGCATCCATGGTATCATTCGACCTGTTCAACCGATCATATCCTCATCGTTGTCACCGCCGCCGCCCATGTTCCGTCTCAGCCTCACTGCATCCTCATCCCTCTTCCTCCGCTCAAGGCCCTCCTTGATCCACGCCTCGTACGCTTCATCTCCATCCTCGACCTTCTGCGCCACAACACCCTTGAGCACCTCGCCCGCAAAGCCGACAAAGTTGTGGCGGCGCAGGGCGTTCTCGAACCGCCAGTTGCGGCGCTTCTCGTTCTCGCGCTCAAGTGTCTCGGTGTCACCAATTTCCTTGGCAGCAATTCTAGGGTCGCGCACCATGGCGAGCACGTTGAACCGAATTTCGGAGCTGGCGTACGTGAGCATACGGTCCTGTAGCACTTGCGTAACCTTGTTCGGGAACTCTTCGGTCGTGCAGGCGCCGTGCGAGATGGGCGCAGGCTGCAGTCCGTCTAGTTCGTAAAGTTTGCCATCAATGGGCGTGTAGGCGATGAAGTGGAAAGCGTCCTCGGCCTCGCCCGTCTTCTGCGTCTCGTCGACGAAGGGGCTGCTTTTAGCAAAGCTGTTGTGCACTTCGCGGATCAGGTCCGAGTTGCTGAGGGCTTCGCCACGGAATTCGGGCGGGAGGACCATTGTGAACTCGCGGAACTCTGAGAGCTTTTCGCCAATATCCACTTCTTCGGGCTTGTTGAGAACGACACTCAGGAGCGCTTGCGTACCGCACGCATTCTGGATTGTCTGTTGGGCGAAGAAAAGACGTTCGGCGGCATCACGGTCGTAGGATTCTTGCGATCGCGCAGGGAGGCCCTCGGAGGGATATCGAAAGAGGAAGATGATGCCGTATATGGGCTGCAGCGGGGCTAGCTCGTCAGGGGAGAGAGTCAGTAGCTCCTCAAACTGCACGCCCTTGACACCGAGATTCTCAAGCAGATATGTGAAGACGCCCTGAGCGGTTGATTAGCATAGCAATCGCCGGGGCAGAGGAATCGCATACTGCATCGGACTCGACTATGAGAGTTAGCGGAGGTTAGCGATGGGGTGTCGGGGGATGCGTACTGGTATTCCATCCACCACTCATTATGGATACGGCGATGGCTTGTGATGAAGATACGGGCAATTAATTGGCCGTAGCAATACCGTACTCGCGCTCAGTTTACTAACCACTCTAGTGGTCGATGTCGCAGTCAAATCGGAGTTCGTAGCTCACGAAGGATTGGTAGTTAGCTGAGAGGTTGGAGCTTCAATGTCTGGAAGCGAAATGTCTGGCAGTTGACGCAAGGTCGAAGCTGTTGTGGGTCGTGGTCGGGCGGGGCCAGGGTCAAAGATCCGCCGGGGCACAACTCACGCTAGACACCCTGCACCTGCCATGACTTTGACCACTACACGTTAAGGTGGGTTCAAGGTTCATGCCCATTACTATCTATGTACAACCATTGACAGCTAATTGAAGTCATATCGCCAGTATTTCTGGCACAAAAGTCCACGCAAAATCGTTCAATCCTCCTGGAATACAAATGAAGAGCCTAACCTCGTCGAGTATATTCACTGCATAGAGCGCGGCGTCGCCGTACGCTGTGGAATCGTCACCATGTGAACGCCGCCCTCCTCCTTTTGGTGCGTTGAACCCATACGTGAACCCGGAGCATAAGTGCTCTCATGGTCGTCATGAATATGGAACTGGCGCTTGCTATCCTCGTCGCCGTTGCTAAAGCAGCTGGTGCGAACGGCACGGACGAACCAGGGCTTTTTGCCGGTGCTCCTCCAGGACCAGTACTCCTTTGCATCATACTCACGGGGCTCGAGCCTGCCTCCGGAGAGCCAAACAGTTAGAGCGATGAGGCCGTTGAGAACAGAGTACACAAACACTCCCCTGTGTTCATTAGCTTCGGTCCAGATGGCATGACGGAAGAGACTTACGCAATCAGGCCGTAAGCGACGCTATAGGAGAATGGGATGAAAGTCATGACAACGAAAGAGGGAAGGACGTCGCCAATGTACCGCCAGTTGATCTGGGTGATCTGACGGATCATCATGCAGCCGACCTGTGGAGGTTAGTAAATGACAACCGGCACGGCCTTGGAGACTCACCAGGACGAGCGTGCAGCCAGTTGCCCAAGGCGGGATGGACGCGAATATGGGAGCGAAGAAGATTGAAATTAGAAAGCAAATGCCGGTTGTCATGGACGTCAACCCCGTGCGACCACCCTCAGCGATGCCTGCGCCACTCTCGATAAATGCTGTGACGGGAGAGCATCCGAACAGGGATCCAATGGAGATGCATGCCGCATCGCAGCAGTAAGCAACGGTAGAGCGAGGGAAATCGCCATCTTTGGGGTCAACGACACCGCAGAAACGAACCATCGAGTACATGGTGGCAGTGGCGTCAATGATGTCGACATAGAGAAATGTGAAGAGAGCAAGAGCAAACTGCGATCCGTTTTTGGCGACGTCCCAATCAAGAACGTTGAGGGTGCGCTCGATTGGATGGAAGGTAACGACGTTCTTGAAGAAGTTGAAACGGTTCTCGCCCTCCTCGTTATAGGGGAAGTAGGTGATAGAAGTGTTTCGTCTGAGATGTCAGCGGGGTCGGGCCTAGAGCTTCGACGCACTTACGGCCATGACAAGATTGATACCAGGGCAATACCCATGATGAGTGCATATTTGACTCGGAACGACATCAAGTAGGCCGTGACAACGCCGCCGGCGAAGATGGCGGTCCACATCTTCGGGCTTGACATTATGCCACCAGCGCACATCTGGCTCTCAGGGTCAATCATCTCAACGGGGCATCCGGCAATGGCGAGAGGGGAAGACTTCCAACCTCCGGTGATAGCACCAATGCCGGCGGAGTAAGAGAGCCCAATCTCCGTCAGGAAGAACCCAATACCGACTCCTGTCGCCGTCTTAATGGTCGCTGGTATGAGCTTGACTAGCCACTGCCGCATTCCGGTGAGAGCGAGAAAGATAAAAATGAGACCCTCAACGAAGACTGCTGTGAGTGCCACCCGGTACGGGATGGCGCCCGAGCCGTTGGGACCGACCACCTGGAAGGCAAAATAGGCGTTGAGGCCCATTCCGGGACTGCATTGCTGTTAGCGCATTTGTTGGCCGGGTTTCGCAAAACAGATGACTTACGCGAGTGCCACTGGTAGATTGGTAAAGAAGCCAAAGACGAAGCTGGAAAGCCCGGCAAGGGCGGCCGTCGCGGTGATCAAATCTAGTCGAACACCTGGAAAATCAGCCTGGCTCGGAGCGAGGAGTAAGGCAACTCACTCTCTTTACATGCCTTGTAGCTGGGGATGTTGTCGCATTCGGTTCGGTTCTCTAGATTGCATTCACAAGTGCCACCCGTTTGCGAGAGGATGATTGCCTGTGCCAGTCAGTGGGTTGTTCACGTGGCCAAAGACGCATACTCACATTCACGGCGATAATGTAGGCCATTGTCGCAAAAGTCGTAACGCCTGCTCGGACTTCTCTGAAAAATGTCGAGTCGGGTATCTCCTCAGGCTGGATAGGGTCAGCGAGACCTACGTTTGAAAAGGAGGAGAACTCACATGACCGCTCCCCTCGAGTCTGAAGATGCGGCCAAAAGTGGATGAGGAGACTGTCTTATCGAAGCGATGGACAGCTTTCCACATGTTGGAGAATTTGCGGCCGATAGTCGATCTTTGCACGAGGGGCTCGGCGGGTTCCAGGCGCTCCATGTTGGAGTGAGTCGACATGTTGCTCATGATGGTAAGCGATGGAGGAAGGAAAGTCGACGGGCCACCGTCAAGGCGACTCGTCGAGGTAGTGGGTGAGGAGTTGGTGGCACAAGACTCAGCACCAGGGAAGAAGGTTGAGATGTCTTAGACTCTTGTGCTAGGTACGACGAAAGATGGTTGGCGCAATCGGCGAAAGGCAGAAGAGGGAAAGGGAAAGGAGAAGGCACCGGAAGGGCAGAGTGGGTAGGTAGTTGGATGGGCTTCAACAGAAGGAAGGAGATGGTAAGGTAGCCGACAGGCGTGGACTTCGTTAGGAATGGCCGATGAAAGAGGTGTGTCTTGGGAAGGAGAAGAAAGCGAAGGCAGCCGCACCGTTGGAGAACGAAGTGAAGGAGCGTTGATCGAATATCTAATGAAGGGAGGAGTAACCTGGAATTGGAAGGGGGTGGCAGTGGCAGAAAACGATTATAGCCTCTTACTCCAGCCCTGGTCGGTTGTCTGCAAAGCCCGCAACGCACTTTTACATCACCAACTGGAACATCTCCTGGACGACATTAGTCCTTCTCTTGAAGCAAGGTACAGGACCTTGCCTTCAATGCGTTGCCGCGCCGAGAACACCCTGCCTTAGCTCTGCCTCTACCAGAGGGACTCCAGTGAAAGAGGGTGTGCTGTTCTTTCTTTTTCTCTACAACGCCAAATCCAGGTAGAGGCGGGGGGGCATGGCAGGAAGTCCATATCGTGAGCCAGCCAGGGAGGGACCTTGGTCGATACCACCTTGAGACTGGATGTAAAACTGCAGCCTCTGTACGCCACTGCTAGCTGTTCAGCCGATGGAAACATACCTAGGAGGTCGACCAATGCTGACTAAAAAGGCACACATATACGTTGACTTATCAGGGAGCGGATTGCATTGCAAGAGAGGGACCCGGGCTACGTCCGCTCCCCAACGCCACGTAGGAGCGCAGGCTACCAAGTTTGATAAGGAGACTTTTCAACGATGAGTTTGTTAGTTCGATTCCGTCCGGCGGATAAACTCCATCTGTGCGCAACAATGCCCCATAAACCTTCATCCCAGCTGCCAGTTCAGACGCACCTTAGCCCTGGCGGTGGTCCACCCGACGACCCCGCCATCTTATTCCCTTATCTGTCACCCGGTAACTATGATGGTCTTCTATGTCGGATGTCTTCGCGATAGCTTCGGTATTGTAAAGCACACGTCGGTCTCTGCTATAACCTTGGATTTCAGCGGCCATGTTATTTCTTTCCGCGTGCTTTATGACGCCCCCAATCTGCCCAAGCCATAGTCAATGGCATCATCCACCATCCCTTTCAATGTCGGTAGCTCGCCTCTTCCATCAATCCAATCGGAAACCACAAAGGCAACAGGAAATGCGGCCACAGTTCAATCTCGAGCCTGCAGGTTGCCGCTCTAGCGTCATACTGATCAAGCGAGACATGTCTCGAAGCTCCTTGATAGGACTGCCAAGGTCGGCCAACGGAACTTTGCATTGTATGCGGGATATTCGTCGTCTACCCGAGCTTGAGCTTGTGACAAAGTCCTGCTCTCGCGTCAGCCCCTCCCTGACCATTGTCTGGATGTGTGTCATTGCAGCTGGCCTTGTCTGTCCTACAGCCGTCACCAGTCTCTTGACTGGCTAGCTTCCCAATATCCAGGGCTTAATGCACGTCGTACCTTGCTTGTGCATCATGCATTGCTTACAAAACGCCGCTATTTCCATTGCTCACTCCTTGTATCGCTCAAGACCCACAGTGACTTTAACATCGGCTCGGGGACGATCCGTAGTCCGTTCTGATCAGCCCGCGTGGCCCAAACTGTACCTTATACATGACGCCGTGCTATAATACCTAGAGCAGAATGAAGATCGGTGCTCGCTCCACTAGACCGTTAGGGACGTTGGTCGACGCCTTGGCATGATTGTGTCCAAGCTCACGCGTACTTTCAAGTTGGTAACAGGAGTGGGAAGGTTGCTCCAGGCCAGAATCAGGCCAGAATTAGAGGCATCCTGGTACAAGATGGGTTACAGCCACGACGACACGCTGGCTAGAATAGAGGAGGGGGTCTTTGTAGACCTTGACGGGTTGGCATATGTTGGAAAAAGAAACGAGCAGCATGCTCGCTCTCTGTTGTAGTTGAGCGAAGGCGTCCAAACAGGCTAGGTCAGCCGCAATAAAGTACCTGTCAAGGAACCAAGGCGTTGGCGGAGGCTGGCATGGACTGCTCAGCGGCTTATGTGGGCTTAGCCAAACGATACATCGCAGCGGTGTGACTGGCCCCCCTCCCCAATTAGTGTATATACTTACGGCCGGGAGAACGTGCGCCCCCTGACACGGTCCCATTGGTGATGACGGTACTGCGGGATACTGAGACCTGGCCACTCACAGCTCATGGGCTACCTTCCCCTCCCAGTTAGGGCAGACTCCCAGGATGCCAGGGGTGGCCTGCTTCGGGTCGTCTCCCTGCAGATCCGCCACCAAGAATCCAATCCAGATCGCTGGCCGCGTCAACCACATCCCAGTGCCTTTACGACCCTGCCTTTGCACTCCGTCCCCTTCCTCAGCATCAATAGCTCGCATAGGACCCCGATGCTGCCACTTCGTCTTTCCAGCTGGCCGAAGGGATGCCCCTTGCTATCTATCGACATGACCGAAACGAAGGCTACTTCGATTTCCCAAGTCCGACGTCCAACAAGCGGTCTGCCGGTTCGAGTCTAGGCAATCCGCCATGAAACGGGTGTTGCGCGGGTTCATGTTGCCCGGAGTGCCCTCTCACGCATGGGTATACCCGGACGCACGCGACGGCTACCTCCCGCGAAACGGTCCGCCGGGACCTACAGGAAGGTCAAACTGCAGGGTTGACAGCTAAAGACACGACGGCGTCTGTGGGAGCGAGATTCGGTATGACGACTCCCCGCTAATATTACTGCGATGTTATAAATCGATAGGGGATTCGCTTAAGAATGAGAAGGCAGGTTGCAGCTGTCCGCCGTGGTGCGAGGGGACTTTTAACGGGAAAGACTGGGCAAACATGATGTCTTCGCTCGGTCGTATGGCTAGCTCAGCTGCTTCCGACATGAAGGGCATGCAACCACCGTAGCCGATTTCAAAAGACACGGCTGACAACCACCAGGTACAGCGCGACGCGAACGTGTCGATAATTAGCCCCACAGTTCAAATGGCATGACATGGGCTTGCTCTGCCATGTGGGCAGAAACGCAAGCCCCGCGCCGGCTCATTTGCCGAAAACTTCCACTCGCGCCGTTGAGTAGCGTATTTAGCCGGGAAACGCACGTTCGGCGCGCACATGGGTAACTAGAAGAATGGATTGTACGTTTGGGGCGAGCAAGACCGTGTAAGTGAGCCTAGCCGCAATCAAATACCTTTCTCGGTGCGGCGCGCACAGCCCATTCTACCTGAATTCCACGCGCCAGCCACTCGGCCAAGGGTAGAGATCCTTCCTGGCTTCCGACGTCCCTGGTATCGAGGGAGGCGGAACAATGGAATCCTGCTGTTTGGTGGTCAGGAACGTAACCCGTTGACGACTGTGAGCAGCCAATGAAGAAACAGTCCCTTCACTTCCCTTCTACCAATGTGACGCGGCGTTGCGTACCGTCGATGTCGGCTTACACACGTCCACCGCTGCTGTGCTCAGTGCAACTAAGTGTCCGAACGTACATTTCTCTTGTTGACCTCATCCTGTGTGGACTGTGGTGGATCCTTGATGACCACCCAGCTGGCCCTCGTCTAGCGATCAAGGAATAAGCAATACGAAGCAGGCGAATCAAGGCAAGCAAAATCACTGGCTGATCAGTGTCCAATAATTCTAAACCAGATGGGTGGGTGACTAGTGGCCGGCAAGGCGCCACAGATCACAGGTGACTGTAGCGTGGATGGGTTAATCGATGGCGTAAAGTTAGGGATAAAGGGGGGGCGGGCAATGGGGGCTAGAGGCACAGTTGTGTATGGCACAGTTCAATATGTGGACGTACTGGGGAGTGCAGATTGAGAATGATGGATCTGGATCTATACCTAGGTTAGAAATGTGCGTCCTACTGCTACTGATGCGTACTATAGTACATCTGATCATCATCTAATTTTCAATGCCACGGTACATAACCGGACGAACGCGCACGATCACACACTTGCTGGGTGTGGTTCATATCGGGAAGACAGTGATTATTCGTACCAAGACAATCTCCCGGTATTGGCAGCACCTCTGACGCAACCTTTCAAACCCTGCCCTGTTCCTCCTGTTTCTGGCTCTTTACCAAATGCTGGCTTGACGGATGGGAGCGCAAGTTACCGTTGCTCTGTTCCCGTGCGCCGCCCCAGACCTTGACCTGGGTTTGCCATTCATCACGTTGCATCTGCATATGCGCCTGTGCCGCGCATCGAATCGACTGCAACTGCGACACAAGCACAACGACAAAGAGGAACCGGCACGCTTACACACGTCAACTGCCAGTTATCTTCGTCCCACACCCTCGCCCTCGTCCTTGCATGCCCGCGGCTCCTTCCGTCAGTCTTTCTTCGCCTTACAACTAGGCACCTGCCTCGATTGGCGCGGGTCTGGAGTGTTTCTCCTGATACACACTAGTGGTTTCCTCACCCAACACAGCTCCTTCCTCCTGGGTTGTCGTACCTGCCTTTTCCCACTCGACCCTTTATCTATCAACACTTCCTGATCATACCCCACACCGTCCGCCGACGGCAAATTCCCCTCGACTTTGTCAATTATTCTCTCCCTCCCGAAGACGCTCTCACTATCTCGGGTGGGCTTTTTTGTTTTTTTGTGCATCGCTCTGCTCGCCCTCCAAAGTCCTCCTCAATGTTCTCGGGCTTCCGGTCATCACGGCTGTTTTACCTTGAACACCTGCGACTTCCTATCTCCGACGACGACTGTATTTTAATTTCATCCTCATCAACCTCGACGACGCCAGATATCGGACAGGCCACGATCCCGGTTTTCCACAAGGCCTGAGCCTTCACCAAAACAACCGTCCTTCGATCTTCGGGCATACGTCTTGAGATCGGAATATACTTGCAACCTCACATCTAGATTTGCGGAGAAGGCAATCGCTCGTGTATATATAACACCCCTAACCCTACCGCATCTTCTTGACACCAGTTGTCACTCTTTACGACGGTCATCTTCTCGGGGCCGGGGAATCGCAGCCCACCATGTGGGAGGTCGTATGGACGGATCCCGATAGGGAGTCCAGAAAAGAACACCGCGAGCGGAAGGCAGTAGAGCGAGAATACAAGGACAAGTCCCGAGCGACCAGGGCTTCTGTGTCCACTCGGAGCTCCTCTTCATCTGATAACAAGCCATTCAGCTTCTTCGGATCCAAGGGTCTTAAGAGGACACTTACACCGTCAAGCGTTAAATCACCCATGAAAACTACATTAGGATCCCCGAGCATCGACAGCACCTATAGAGGCTCGCTCTTGTCGGCCATCTCGGAACCACCGCCACTCCCTGAAGTGCTTCCTGGCACTCCGATCACGGCCGTGGATCGCACCGACCTGCTGGATCACTTAGCTGAATCTTTGCAAAGCTCACCAAGATCATCCAACAGAGGTATAAATACCCAACCCTACAGCCTTGCTGCAACTCACTGATATCCAGGTTTCATAGACTCAGTTTTCTCCAAATGGACAGACAACTCGTTGGCTGTGCCTGCATCTCCATGCGACACGTCCGTGAGCGAGTTGACGGTAGGAAAGCGGGAGAACTACGTCCAGAACCTTGGCCCAACCTCCTTCATTACAAAGAGCACTGAGATCACTATCTTGCCCCGGACGACAGAGAACGAAATCTCAGGGATGGTTTCACGCGTCACTATCACAGCGGAACCTGTCAAGGAGGAGCCGCCGACACCTCCTCGTTCGCCGGCAACGCAGTAAGTGAAGTCGCCGAAATTCCAGGCAACACAACTAATAGAACACAGACCTGCAATCCCGACCTTGATTGATACACCCGTCAACCTGTTCCCAGGGCAGGTGAGCCCGAAGCAATCACTACGGCAGGTGGCTTCGTGGATGACAGCGTTCAAGCCTAACAACCCAGATGCCTGGAAGCCTCCAGATGAGTGGGATTGCGGTCCGGCACTAGAAGCGCGAAGCCCGATGATTGAGAATGACATCGAAGAGGCACTAGAGGTTGATGATGGACTCGCCATGTCCATGGACCTCAACAGCATGCAGCGCGAGATTAGACGCATGGCCGCCGCAAGCCACAGCATCCGTCTTCTGCGCTTGAAAGAAGTCTGGGGCGACACCACCGATGCCAATCTCTACAAGGAACTCGAGATGGAGAAAAAGAGGTGGATGCTTTCGTCGTTACACAACATGGACAAGCAGGAGAATCAGAACCAGGAGGCCCATGCTGATAAGATTACCCCGGCTAAGGCAAACAAGGTTCTAGCACTCTACGAGGCTCAAGGTCAGTGAAGACGAACTCATAATCATGTGATTGAACTGACATTTTCAGCGACTACCTCATACTTGGCAGCCCTCCACTTCAACAAACAAGTCTATCACCTGTCCTCTGCTCCTCTGTCTCATAATCTCTTCCCCAACATACACCCAGTTCTTGTGCCCGCAGTCTCGCCATCAGCCTTCCCAGTGGCACCGTCGCTGTTTGGTGTTGCCTACTCGCTGGCACTTCCGGCACTGTTGCCATCTGCCGAAGTCCCTGGGCTTCTCAAAAACGTCCACAGGTGTCTCGCAGTTGGGGGAGCCCTGCATCTGACGCTGATCGATCCCCTTCCGATTACACACACACTCGGCCCCCTTATGCGCTCGTGGATTGAGGAGAACCTTATTTTCAACCTTGAAAAGAACTTCCGCTGCGTTAACCCTAGCAAGCTGTTTCCGCTCTGGCTCGCAGATGCTTCTCTTCGTGGCGATGGCAGTACCATCACCACGGTAAGATTCTGCGCCATGCCACCCATCGACAGGCCGGACACGGCCACGACTGACGCCGAACAGCTTGCGGATAGGGCCGTTAAACAGGAGCTGCGCACTATAGTCGGTCGAATGCTCTGGGGAGAAGTCTGGGGTCAGTTCATTACTGCCGACCAGTGGTGGTGGGAGCAGCCCGACATTGTTGCAGAGTGCGAGCAGCTCAAGACAGCGTGGGAGTACAGTATCATTGAGGCGGTCAAGACTGCGTGAGGCGGTCGCAATGCTGGAATTACTTTTTAGGTAAAGAAAAGTGTGGTGTCATATGTCGTTCCAGAGGAGCAGAAATGCATTCCTTGACATGGCGTTGGAGGCCAGGTTTCTTTCACAATACCCACCGGATCGCCTGAATGGTGGATGGAGCCGCTGGCTTTACCTGGCTTGGGGAGAGTTTGGCGGATTCGATATGAAGTGGGGTGAGTTTTCATGTATAACGCAAAACTCGCATTCACCGGCGACAAGATGAGCAGATTTCGTGTAGAAACGAGCTGCAATCTCGAGTGGAAATGGGCTTGGCGGGCTGGCTATTGCTATGTACGAGACCACATGCCGTAATGATCAATACAATGTCTATGGCACACGATGACTTCCGGGTCCTCGTGCCACGTATCCCATGGACTGTTGTTGTTTAGTAGTGATGAAGAACGAGATCGCCAGCCAGCCCTTAATTCGAAGTAAGTGCCCGAAGAGGATTATCATGCCACAAAATCCGACGGGAAAGGAAAGCTGGCCATCGAAATTCCGGCTGCTCCACCAGTACGAAAACCCTCCTCGTGTTTCGATGGCTTCAGATGGAAAATGATTTCCTCAATTAAATACCATCCATGTATGGTTCCTGAGGTGCTTATTTTTATCTTATCTTTATTTTTACCCAAGGCATCCCAGTCTTGACAGCTTTCGGAGTATCCCCCGTCCTGGCAGCTCCACAACAATAGAAACCTTTTTTGGTGTTTCCGACGAACCATTGCCGATCCCTGTCCTTTCCCCGCAACATCCACATGCCTTTGTTTGTTGCTCTTTCGGTTCAGGAATCGCGAGAGCGGAGCGAGTGGGTTCCTTCCTTTTTTAATTCTATTTTCTTCTTCCTTTCCCCCCTCTGCTTTGCTTTCCCTTCTTAGGGCTAGAGTTGCCCATGACCCTCCTTCGAGTTGCATATCGTTTCGGTTTAATCCAGCTGAGTTTCGGCAATCGGTCGCGATCAGTATTAAGAGGGGTAAAGGAGCGCTGGTATACCTAACTTGGAGGGGGCGCTACTTTGATTATAGTGGAGAGTGGTAATCAAGGGGGGGCCATTCCTCGGTTGAAATCATGATGGTGGCCTTTCTGCAATGGTCACTCCTAGTCCATTGGAAACTGGCCAGAGAGTACACCCTCAGAAATTCCCGCTGTATGTAGCATGTATCTTCCACAAGTTTGCTTAGCAAATGTACAGATGACAATGTCGATTTGGATGCACGGCGTGTCGACCCTGTTGTGGTCTCGGCTTGGCCCTTGAGATGGGACGGCCCCCAACGTCCTCCAGCTCCGGTTCGGGTAGGAAGTCGCCAATGGTCAGAAGGCGGCGGTTGATGCCGGTGGAACTTTACGCAACATCAGGCACGGCTATCCGTGCTTTATTGCCCAGTTAGGCAGTCTTTTCATTGGCTAACAAGCGTCGGACAAGTCTGGAACACCACTCTGGCGTCCCTTGGTGCGGAACCGTGGCCCCCGGTGGACATGCCTTTCGGTTGTACCAGATGCAACTTGGGAATCCAAGTGTGGACAGATCTGGTTCGCTTCGCAAGATTAACGACGGTTCCACGCTTTGTTGAGATATCCCGTGGCGAATAAATCCGAGGGGAAGCAGGGGTTCAGGAGACACGCATTTAGGGCTTCTGGAGTGAGGGTCATTGAGTATCAAGAGCAAGGAAGGAGGCACTAATGCACTATGTATCGGAAACGCCGGTGTTTGGTCCAGGGTCACGGATAGGAGCCTCCCGGATGGATTGACTGATTTTTGGCTGGTTTCTTCGTCCGTCATGATTACCTATGTACTTACATTCGCACAGGCACAATATCCACCCTTGTATCCGAGAGACACGGCAGATGGAATCTGCAGGGTCATATCCGAGAGTCAAGGCCGAGGACACCCCTAGCCAACGTCAGGTTCATAGCACCTTAGTATCTCAAAAGGCGCTCTTGACCTCTATGGTTGAGATCAAAATTTGATTATCAGCTAGGGAACTACTCGATACCTGCATGATACTGTGTTTCTTCTAGAGACCTTATATTGTGCTGAGTATGTGGCATGACACCCGCGCGGGGGGGGAGGGGGGGGTTCCGGCTATGTAGAGGGCATTATTGTATGCCTGGGGCCGCCTTGGATACGTACCCCAGCATCCGGGCAGAAAAGCTTGGGGTTCCCGCATGAAAGCTACTGTAGACACTGGTTAAATCGAATAACCGCTAGTGAGCAAGCTAACGGTAAGGGGTATTGTGGCTGCTGTGATAGGTATAGTGTGCTAGCAGAAGCAGGGGTCTAGAAGTGGTAAAAGCAGGGGTTAGTCATGTATGTCAGAAGCAAATTAGGTGGTAAGGGCTAGCAAACAGACTTTGAATTCGTATTAGCTTTCCTCTTATCCTTCTACATCTTGCTAGATCTCCTATAGCCTTATTAAACTACCTTTAATAGCTTAATAGATGTCTTTAGCTAGAGATATATACTCTTAGTAGTTATTATTTATATTATTATTAGATATCTTTTAGGCTACTTCCTTAATTTCCTTTTTTATATAGGCGTTATAGTTAAAGTTATCCTAACTATCTTATAATATCTTCTTATTTAGTATGTCCTTAATCTAAATCTTATTAATATTACTCCTATCTAGATTAGTACTAATCTTATACTAAAGAAAGGATTACTAGACTATATTACCCCTTTTAGCTAGGTAATAGGTAGCTATTATAATAGTATAGGTAACTATAATACGTTTTATTAATATAGACTACTTAATAGGCTAGCTAGGCTAGCTAGGCTAGATAGGTTAAATTAGCTAGATAGGTTAAATTAGCTAGATAGGCTTACTAGGCTAGTAGGCAGCAGCTTGCTCTTTTTACTATATATATTTATCTGTTACTTTAGATAACTACTGCTTAAAGGGCTTATTAATAGCAGTATCTAGAGGTTAAAAGCAGAGAGTTAACAAAAAAAATACAAATTTAATACAAGTGTTAAGGACTTTTAGGTGTAGCTAAAAGATATATATATATATATTAGCTTATATAGTATATAGAAAACTATATAAAAATAGACATTAGGCTGAGATTATTAATCTAGATTTAACTATATTTTTATTTCCTATTTAGGTAAAAGCCCCGCTTTTAAATCCTAGTTTTTAAAAGTCTATTTTTAGTATATACACTAACATGTATTGTATTATGTCTAGAGAAAAATACAATATAAATACAAGTTATATTTACTTAAATATATTAGTATATAGTTACTAAAAATAGAAAGTATATTAAGAAACCCTTGTAATAATTCTTAGATCTATACTATATATTAATTATATAATTTATTACTTAAAGTTAAGCCTTATAAGTAGTGTATTTTAAAAAAAATACAAGTCTCTATACAAAATACACTTTTAACTCTCTAGTTAAAAGAGGGAGGTTATACTAAGTAGTATAAGGCTAGGGGTAACATAATAAGAATAAAGTTATAATAGTATTATAAGGGTCTTATAAAAGGTAGTAATATCTATAACTAATAGATACTCTTACCTTACTATAAAAGGGAAGAATTTATTAGTTAGCTACTACCTAAAGAGGTATTTATTATTATAGGCTATATTATTATACTTAACTATTACCTTATTACTATATAAGTTACCCTTACGTGCTATAAGGTAGCTACTTAGCTAGCTGTAAAAAATTAACTTAGGTAGTAGCTATTAAATCCTATTAGTAAAGATATAAAGGGTTAAAGTGGCTTACTGCTTACTTTAGCTACTATAGTTACTTTTACTAGCTATAGTATAGGCCCCTTAAGCTAACTAAGTTAATCTATTAAGGTATTTAAAAGGGATAGGGGTCTTATTAAAGTTAATAATATAGTTAGGAGGAAATTAAAGGCTGCTAATAGGCTAGTAGGCTAATAAAGGCTAACTAACCTGCTAGTTAAAGTAAAAGAAGTTAGTAATAATTATAAGGTATTTAGTAAGTAACTTTAAGGCTTACTTTATAAGCTAGTAGTATAAAATACCTTATTATATATAAAAGCTAATAAACTAACCTATAGAGAATTAGAAGGGGTAAGTGTAGGTTAGTAGGTTACTAGCTATAAAGGCGTTAGGGTATATAGTAGTAAAAAGGGCTTAGGCCTCCTGCTTAAACTATTAAGTAGTAATAACCTTATTATAGGCTTATTATTACTAAAAGTAGCTATAAAGTTTAGCCTCTATTTTAGGCTACTTTAGTTATCTATTATAATATATAGATATAGTTAGGTTAATAGTATCTTATTATTAGTACTACTAAATAACTATTATAAGGGGTATCTTAAAGTAAGTAGCAGCCTCTTAATAGGTTAGGCAGCAGAGGCTGTTAGCTAGGTTAAGATAGGTATTACTAGCCTGTTACTATTATAGTTACTTTAATAGATTAATTAGGTAGTAGTAGTACTTAAGGTAAGTTAATACCTCTATTTTCTTTTACTAAGAATATAACTATTTAACCTGTTAAATTAGCTTTGTTAGTGTATATTATTACTTAATAATAGGCGTAGGCGTTTTACCTATTTTCTTGCGTAACAGTAGTGTATTTAGGTTGACTTCACCTAGCGGCAGGCGGTCGGGCATTGTGAATATTGTGGTAGGTTAATGGGTTAGTAAAGTTAACTATAGATGGGCTGGCTGGCAAGTAAATGGGTGGATAGGTAAGTGGGTGGATAGGTGGGTTGACTGCCTTCTATTTTAGGCTTAGCGTAGTGGATATACGCTAGCTAATATCAGCTAGCTCGTCCACTAGCGGTTATTCGATTTAACCAGTGTCTACGGTAAGATGCGGGAGGCAACCTGAGGCTCGCCTCTGCTGCCTAGGTAGTACTGTTACAACGCTATTCCTTCCAGCAGGACCTTTTTCTCTAGGAAACCCACATACAGCACCGGGAATATGGAGAGGAAAAGGGTTAATTGGGTCTGCCATATTGACCCGGCACGAAATGGTGGGTGACTGGAGCTATCAACAAAGTTTCTAACCTTGCGCCCTACTATTGATTAGAGATTGGCAGCATTGGTTCCAAAAAAGGGCCAGCGGGATGAATCCTGCGAGCTCCTGGTCGCTCCCGATCCCCCGCCCAACCGCCACGCAGTAGACGGCTGTCGCACACGGAGTTGGCGCGGGAAATCGTCAAGGAAAATGGCATAGACGGACGCGTCCTTGCAGACATCATACCCTGGCAAATCCGCTGTCGCCTGCTGGCGCTGCTGAGTGCCAATGGTTGGGGAACGACAAAACCGGGTAAGCGTAAGCGTGGAAGCCCCAAAGGAAAGAGACGCAGGGACAAAGCAGAAACACGTCCTCCTCTCGAGACAAAACGAGAGTGAACGTTGGTGTGTCCCGTTCTATTATCACTCTATCTCACCAACCAACACTGGCGCCACCACTTGACGTGAGCTGCTTACTTTTGAGTGGAGTAGGCACCTAACGAAATGACTCATATAAACTATATTCTGAGGCAGTTCAGTATTTGTACACCAGTTCCAGGCGGCGGCGGAGGCGGAGCAATTCAGATAATGTACGATGCGGTAAATAGCAACCCATCTGATGGAAGAATGAAACTGATTTTGCAGAGCCAAAGGGATAAATATAAACAGCAGGTACCTCCTTGCAAGAGTGGACATGAATCTATCAACGCGACCGGGCCCCTTAAATACATTCGCATGCCACCGGGTATCATCCACCAGAAAATGTTGTGCCATCATGGTACGCGTGCAATCTCGTCTATGCCCGTGAAGCTTGCCGGTTAGAGTTTGGTCGACTGTTCGTGAGCTCAGTTATGCTCCCACTCTCGTAGTTTTTTGTTCTTCGATTCTGGCGCGATATCTTAAACGAATTGCTGTGGCGAAAAGTGCCTATGATCTCTGTGACGTCTGTCCGTCGAGACGCATACTTGATGTCGGACCACACGATCTTGCAGGCCTTCCGTGAGGTCACGACGTAAATAAGTGCGTTACAGAACCCTTGAAGTGGGAGGACAAAGGCGCTCATGTACTCAAGCGGGGTCGAGGACTGTTTGGTGTAAATGACCGAGTAAACGCGGTTGGCGCTCGATGGGACCCAAATGATGAGTATGACTGTGAAAAAGAGGATGGAGCACTTGGTGTACGACCATGCAGCGTTGTTGAGCTCGCGGTTACGCATGCGAGCCGAGTTTATAGGACGCTGGGCAAATACTTCGACAGCGCTGCTTTCGACGGGCAGAACGACGTCAATGTGCGGTTCGTTGCGGTTGTGGTTGGCAGAGATGGTGACAGAGTAGGCGGCGCTGGGCATCCGTGGAGCTGTTCCGACTTCTGATCCACGGCTTCCCATCGGCCCCAAACCGATGGAGCCCTGAGGTTGGTCCACTGTCACCTCCGAGGTGATGTAAACCTCTGTCATCTTTATCGAAGCGAGCACATCATGGAACGAATGTCGTCGGTCGGGGTCTGAGGAGCTAAAGTTGTGAAGCTGTTTGCGTTTCTGGTAGATCTCTCCACCGGCGCGGATGTAGATGAAGAAGGTGATCAAAATTGCAATCCTAGGCAAGTCAGTGATGGCATCGCTGTTCTAGGGGAATGCATACCAGACGGGTCCGTAAAACGTTATAATACGCCATATATCCCATTGGGGGGTGATCCAGCACCACAGCGTCGCATTGCCGTAAACCCTCTGTCCGTTATCGTTTTTGATGAAAATGTACACCAATGCGGGAACGAACGGGATGCCATAACAGCAGACTAGGTAAGTTATCTCCATTCTTCGTAGTCGTTCGGCATCAAATTTGTAGTAAAAGGTTAGGTATACATTGATGGCCATGGCAAGCGTCCAAAATGCATCCGCAGGCATGAACCTGCAAGGTGTTAGCTGTGGCTTGGACAGACGTCAGACATGCTCACATTTGTATAAGGAAAGCCTGAAGTTGGCAGCCCGGGGAATCAGGGAAGCCGATATATGACCTAGCCATGAGGGTCCCGACGTTTGACATCATGTTGCCAAAGGACGCAAAGAATGCTAGCCGGTTGATGGGCTTGTGAAACGCTCTCGACGAGCAGAATGTGACGATGATGAAAACGCATCCTATCAGGGACAGCACCGAACATATCCGTTCGATGATACTAAACAAGTCGAGGTCCCCCTTATCCAAGTTTGTCTTTTCTTCGAGCGCGCTCATGGTGACTAAGTGTGTGACGATATATAGTCCAGTATAGTTGAAGGCCGTTGTGTAGCCGGCAACCCTGTAGGATCGATTCGAGACAACAGGAAACGACTGTCGTATACCTCGACGCCCACCGGCGGCCAGTGAAACGGGAGAAATTGATTGTCGATGACGGCGCCCAGGGGCCCTGCTCTGAATATTTCGCTTGTGTCCGGATGTTCGACAACGTTGTTCTCCCTCGGCGAGAATTACTAGTTCAATGTTGACAACAAAAAGGTCCGATACTCAACGGTATGAAGAGGTGTTGCCAGCACAGGCAGTGTCTGCGTGCTGCGTCAACTCTCCCCCAAGAATCTAGGCTGACTCTTGGCCCAGATGATCCACGAGAGAGCGCAAGCCGTTGTGCGTAACCGGAACCCAGGAACCGGATAGTCGAGCAATGAGACTTAACATGATTCAAAGAGGCAAAGAAAAACAGAACCAAAAGCAGCGGCAATAACAGCAAAATGTAGGAAGATATTAGAGGGGAAAAGAGCGGAGCCAGTCATCAACTTCGTCGGGCCCTTGACTACCGCATGGCTCATACCAGGGGGGAGAGGGTGGTGTAGACCAGGATAGGTCAAGATGCTGTCCTAAGTGCGTTCCATGTCGGAGTACCTACATAGAGCTTCGCAGGTACCAATGTGAATGGAAGGCGGGGGAGAAGTTATGAAGATACCTAGACAATGTTGGAAATTGACCGAGGCCGCCATGTCCGCCCAAAAGAGGGCAGAAAATTGAGGATCGTCTACCTTGGTTAGGTACGCTGGAACGGGCAAAGTGAAGGACTTGGCTCCAGCTTAGCGCGGGGTCAGACGAACCTGGGGACTCCAGGATGGGGGGCTTTGCCCCATGTTCACCGGCGTGCGCCGTTTCAAGGGTAATCCTGGGGGCAGTTGCTCGTGAGACGGTGGCTACACTTCGAACAACGCCGTTTTTGGCACTAAAATTTAGGTCCAATTTCTGGGGTCCTTAGGGCATGCCGCTCATCATCATCGGCTGGAAGCGCCTATTGCCCTGCCGTCACGTAGGTAATGTAAATATCCTCAAGGGGCTCGGTCGGGTAGGGCAAGGTCAAGGCGGCAGCGACGGGATGGTTGGCCCAAACTGTATCTATGAATTTAGATGAACTTTTCTCAGCGCCACCGAGAAATTCCAGAGAACCGTCGATTTCACTCCTCTTGGTGAAACCCTTGTCAAGTCACTGCAGAGCAGAGATCGAGGGCTGCAGATTGCCATGTTCTGTCTTGTCAGCAGCGAAGCAGCTCATGCTCGCTGGTTCAACCCAAGCTGGCAGGGTCGATTGGGGAGAAAAGCGCTTGATTGGATTTTATCTCGGGCTATTGTCGAACAGAAGGATCATGGTGACAAACTTCAACTGCAGTCCTCTAATGGTGATGCCGGAAACGAGCCGTTGGTACGGCTGCCTCGATAGAGTACGTTGCACGGAGCTATCTGAAGCACACGCTACTCTATAGGCCGAGCGGCAGCTACCGTAAGCACTCGGCAGATCGAAGGTTAGCTAGTAGGTAGGCTAGCTAGTAGTAGCTAGCGTGTATCAGCCGCACTAATCTTACCTGAGAAGGCGGTCAGACTACCCACCAATTATCTCCTACCTACCCACTGAGCTTGCTGCTTACGTAAGGACGAGCCCCTGCTTTTGCTACTATTAGATCCCTGTTCCTGCTAGCACACTATGCCCATCCCAGCGGCCGCGATACCCCGTTCCGTTAGCCTATCTACTGGCTAACCTTCAATCTGCCGAGTGCTTGCGGTAGTTAAGGCGGCCGTTTCTTCTCACCATCCCGGCTGATACGCCGGTTCCATAGCGGTAGCCGAAGCGGTCAACATATGTGCTCTCTGATCTCGAATTGTCAGACTAGGCCCATTTTGAAGAGCAATCGCTTAGTTTGCAGCATAGAGCCAACACCGTGCTGGCGGTCGATTGAATGGCGTAGGGACGGCCATACAATCAGTGACTCTTAACCAGGCCGGAAGCGCGATGCCGTTGTCGGTCACGTGAACAGCACCGCCATCAGCTGCCGTCTTCGAAGATGACGGGCGGGCGGATGCTGGAAAATTGGGTTCTCGACTTGGAAAATACCTGAATGTTGCGTTACGTCGCAATCGAATCTTAAACTACCTGGATTCGGATCAAGTGTAGATACGGACAGCATCAGCGATACTGGGCGGAAGCTGTGCTGCACCCAGACTGGATGGAAAGGCCGTGACAAGATACTTTTTGGCGGCCTTGGATAGGCTCTGATGACGATTAGCTGCAAAGCACTGCCCAGTGATGAGGGGCATGAAGCAGGCAAAGTCCGGGGAGGCAGACACATGAGATGATAGGAGCGAAGCAGTCAAAGAAAAGGATTTGGCATTAGTTCATGGCCGGAGTACCATTACAAGTGGAGACAGCCACCATTCAAGCTTACCAAGACGGGGAAAGTGGGGTGGCTATTACCGGATGGTCGGCTCAAAGACATGTCTTCCCGGAATACGGCAGCCACACGCTTCCCAAGCCAAAACACGCCGGTCTTTCTGGCCTACCTACTATGCACGGAGACTTACGGGACACACCCTTAGTTCATTTATCCCCTGCACCCATGCGCCGTGCAAACACCCTTGTTGATCACCAGCAACTTAACTTGTCATTAGAACCCAGGTTCATCTTTTGGCTAATAATGTTGGCCGTTGCGAAATACCACGTTTTCAGTGACGCAACGGACCGGCGGCCAAACGGTGCCGGAAACAGGATCATGAAGATGTCAGTTCTGATGTTCGCTGGGTAGGTGGGTATCGACGGCATCTGCGTCAAATATGCAATAAATCGGCTCTTGGCTTTCAGCTTAGCTCCACAGATTCCCCTTCCCAGTTCCACCAGCCTGCTGCCTTTCATAGGAAAACACGACTGGTTTCACTGCCTATAGGTATGCGTATTCTTGCTACTCTAATCGAGTCTGGGAATTCTATCTCACAAATGGAGCGCGTGCTTCTTCCTCGCCATGGGTTTGCGACTTTAACGAGCTGTTTTATTGGTTTCATACAGTAGTGCCAGCCAACCGAAGTCAAATATACTCATACGCGATAGTCCAATGCATCTCGCTCTTGAGAGAACCAATATGGTAACAGGGCAAGTCAGGCTAGACTGCGGAGGAGCGCCCGGGGTCTAGCGGCTTGGCCCAGATAGCAAGAAAGGTGTGGCTAACATGTTTCGGGAGCAGTCCCATCTCCTAAGCCACCAAGGTCCGATGTCGTTCAACCTCTCGATTCGTCGTCTTTGGGTGCCGTACGATATTTTTCCTATAATGTCTTGGTACTGCTCAACTAACTTCCTCATCAAGCCCTCACAACCGAAGCGCTTCTGCATGATAATACTGATGCATGGGAAAACTATATTGAAGCGTCTTTTCGGGAAGTAGGAAGATTCACATCTCGACGAGGGCGAGCGCCACCAAGGAAACTTCGCGGAAAGGCGACGCCTCTGAACGCCACTTGCTAGCAAAGTGATGTACCTCTGAGCTTGGGTGATCATGTTCATATATACCGAGATGGATTGCTCCAGGAGACGGCTCGTATGATCTGCTCAGGCTGAGGGGTTGAATGACAGCCCACCATCGACGTCGCTTTCATGGCTATGGTGAATAAGGGTGTAAAGTCTGAAACCGAGTGTTTCAGACACAAGGCCTTCCGCGTCAGACGTTCAGAAGATTGATGAAGTCTCTAGAGGGTTCTGGTGTCACCGCAAGCAAAACATTATTATAGACAATGAGTTCTTCATGGAATGGTCGATCTGCTATGGCACTAATACTTTGAGTGATGTTGGCAAAAATAAGACATTCTTCTGAATAGTAGTAGCATTAGTAAGAGCCTGCTCCTTGCCGTTACTCTGGTGCGCGGTAGTGTTTGCAACGAGGTTATGGTACAACCTCCAGTAAGCTACGACAGCAATCTATATCCTGCCACTTCCAAATGCTTCAAGCTCTTTTTTCTTTTAGCCTATTCCCGATCCATCCATTGTCAGTGGTCATTAGGAGCTTCCAGATGGAGGTTAGTTCACTCTCCTTTGAGATATAGGTCGTGGATGAGTAGATCGAAGTTTCTATATATGTCTGTACGTTCTGTGTGAAAACAAAAGATAAAAATATTTTTGTGGTGTTCGACAATGTCCCATTATCTCATTGTCTCGCGTCAATGTTAGCCTTCACATCAGGGTTTTCAAGCTGAAGCAGACCAACAACAACCTCAAAACACAGCGACGCGTATGTTCTCGTCACATAGCAGTCTTTACTATCTCTCGAATATTGATAGACCGAATGAGGTACGAGCACTGGCTCCTTCTATCTTTGTTGGGGGGTGAGAAAGAGGTCCACAGCTAGAATACTCCTGACTGTGTCTCTTGGCACCCTCTACGAGATGAGGCCTAGAGAATGGTTCCGCCATGATTTACTCATTCTGCTCAAAATACAACAGTCTCCATTTCATCAGCACCAGAGAGTATTCACAAGCACCTTCAGCCCCATGAACCGAACCCGGATTGTCGTCGAAGCCTCGGCACCTTGGAACTCAAAGGCGAGTTCCCATACAGTCGCTCCCCTCAAGCTTCATCTCGAAACACGCCACGATGCCGCGGAGAACCAGACCAGGCAAGAGACCGCATAAGCACCGCCAAGAAAACTTTGAGCCGACTCTCATCCTCGCCGAGAGCCACGCTGTCGACGAAACGCACCATCAACACCGGTCACGAAAAGACAGAAAACCAGCCAGGGGATGCCGGAGCTCGTCCGTACCGTACAAGCCCTCGAGAAAGCAACGCCACGACAGGCACACTCGCCGCACCGTCATTGAGATGAATACGGACGGCGACTTCACCGTGCTGCCCACACCCCCAGCCTCACCAAAGACTCCACCACTCACTTGCACAACCGCCCACATAGACAGCATCAAAAATACGGGCGTCGCCATCAGCCGCGACAGATGCTCCAACCCAGAGAGGTGCGTCCCTCTAAGGTCTTCAATAGTCTTTCCCGGAGGTTCCTCCACGTCAGCCCAGCTGTCTCCCCGCGACACGACTTTGAAGAATTTCCGATTCCGACATTATCTACTTTCTATGCTTGACCAGCAGCGTGCCGCCGTTGAGTTGTGGGCCGATAGTGTTGGTGCTGGAGGGCCCGCGGAGCCGATGGACTGGCAGCCAGAGCAGGAGCGGGTCGTCTATATTGTGCGGGATCCCGTGGAGTACGGGTGTTATGAGGATCGGTGGAGAATGGATCGTGTGTTGCAGGAGGGACGGCGGCAACAGCAGAGCGTGTTGGCAACGGCAGCCATGTCGACGCCGGTCACGGTGCATCCTGAGCTGGGGTTATGGGCCGGCGGCGGTACGCGTCTTGGTGGACCGACAGTGCCGGCAGTGCCGGCAGTGTGGGGAGATTCCGCAACTGAGTTAGGCCTTCTCGACAAGATTGAGTGAAGTCGTGGGAGGCTGTGTAACTAGATCTGGGTATGTCAGAATAAGTATGGGGGTGGGGGGACCCAACATTTGCATCACCGACACATCCGATGCAGACCAATACACAAACAACTACTACTGTTTAAGTCTACAAGCCCGCATTAAACATGCCATTTTCACCGCAGAGGACTTCTTGACACCCATAAGGGTTAACATGCAAGTTCTGAACTAGACCAGTCCTAAATTCCTAACGCCTGTCCAGATGAAGTCCGACCGACCGTACCCATAGAAGAAAAAGTCAAATCTCGTGGGAATCTCGCAAATGTACAGATTCAACCGCTCACACACCCCCACTCTATCACGCACAACACATAGTTTTTCACCCCAGTCCTTCATCGTCTCCTATGTCTTCACACCTTATTTCGAGTAGCGCGAGTACTCGGCAGCGACCAGGCAGTGGTCACGCTCGAAGGGTTCTGCGGGTTGTTAGCCTTCATGTCGGCGTGGGGGGAATTTAATGGGGTTCACCAACCTAGCGTAAGCTGCTCCTTGGGCGTGATGCGCTCCGCTCTCAGCTTCTCAACCTCCATGGCGAAGACCTTGTGAGCCGGGGCAGTACTGTCGATACAGTTGGCCTTGATAGAGATGAGGATGCCGCCGCCGACCTTGAGGAACTGGTGGGCGTTCATAGCGACGATACGGGCCTGGTCGGGCTGAGCGACGTCGGCGAAGATGGCATCGACCATAGGCATGAGCATGCGGTACTTGAGAGGCTGACGAGCATCCTCGACGATGGGGACGACGTTGGTACGCTTGGCAGCCATGCCGATCAGATCACGGCCGGAGCGAGGCGAGAATTCGACGGCGTAGACGAAGCCGGTGGGACCGACAATATCGGCAACGTGGGAGACGGAGGTACCGGACGCACCACCGAGGTAGAGGACCTTGGAGCCGGGTCCGAAGTAGAGCTTCTCAAGACCACCGATGACGGCAGCAGCCAGCTTACTACGGAAAGGGTTCCATACGCGGTACTCGACCTTGGTGGTTGTGGTGGTGCCGTCCTCGTTTTGGACGCTGTCATCGACCGAAACGCGCTTCTCGCCGTAGACGGACTCGCCAGGTACGATGTTGCGGGTTGCAATGGCATCCTCCTTGCCGCGGACGACGAAGATACCCTCGTGACGGTGGGGTTCCTGGGGTTGTCAGTCAATGTTATTCTTCAGAGGCAAAATGGAAACCGGTCAACATACCACAATGACCTTCTGGCCGCCCTTCTGACCAGGCTTGCCGCCTCCACGGCCGCCACCCCTGCCGCCGCGCTTGTCAATGCCTCCACGGCCACGAGCACCACCGCGACCACCACCTGAAGGTTCATCAGTACACAAGTTCGCATATCGCCAGCGTTTTGTTCTCAAAGCTCACCGCGACCACCGCCACGTCCGCCGAAGCCTCCGCGACCGCGATCACCGCCGAAGCCGCCACGGCCACCACGGTCACCGCCGCCAAAGCCTCCACGGCCACCACCGCGGCCACCAGCTCCGCGGGGAGCGCCGCGACCACCGCCACGAGGCACGAAGGGAGCCATGTCTGATTATTTATTCGGAAGGTATTGTTGAGAGTTTTTGTAGATGGGGACGGTGAATTGGGTCAGAACAGGCAGCTCCCACGTTGTGAAAAGTCGAATTGGGGGGTGTCAGAGGCGCAAGTGGTAATCCTCTTGGTGGCGGGTTGAACACTGGATATACACTTTGGCTGGGAGATTGAAATTTTTCGTCGGACTTTTTTTCTGGGAGCTCCAAAAAGATGCACTGACCAGGAACATGCAGAGAGATTGTGGGGTGATTGGTTCGTGATTGGGCGCGGCGGAACGACAGAAATGCCGTTTTCCGACTGGATTTTTTTCCAGAGATTAGATAACCCCGCTGCCAAAAAGACTGGGACCCGATAGATGTGGGTGTCGGTGTCGGTGCACTAGGAATAGGCGGTGCGCCGAAACTGTCAATTTGAAGGAGACGGGTTATCGACAATTTTTTACTCCCCAGACAACCAGCAAGCTTGATGCGATACTAACTTGGAAAGAAGCAATTATCACGGCTTTTTACACCACTCCCAGTCGTAAGTGCATCTGACCCCCCCCTCGGCATTTTCCCCCTTTCTTCTCCGGTCTGTTTGGTCCAAGAACCGCTGTTTCTTACCCCGTAGGGTTGCGGAGCCCTAAGGCCGACCCCCCTGCCGTTGCCCGATCCGCAAGCGAGAGCCAACCCGCGCGCAGGAGGGCTAGGGTCACTGAAAGTTGTGATTTTCTTCTAACCTCACTCTGACAGCCAGCCCAGTCCACGACGACCACCGACGCCCCGAAACCATCACCGCACCCAACGATCAAGATGGTAAGTTGCGCGCCGCTCCCCATTTTGTGATGTCCCACGAGGGGAGGAATTTGTGAACCGACGAGAGATACGCACGCAATCGCCGCCGAAGAAAGCCCCTCGTCGATGAGAGCAAAACCACCAAGTTTCGTAACATGTAAAATCGATCACAGCACACGATAGGCATTCTGGAGTGTTGGGGCGGGAATACGGTCTTGAGACCTAGAGACTGACACATCCGTCCTCAGGTTCGTTACGCTGCTCACGAGATCGCCCCCGCGAAGTCGGCCCGCGCCCGCGGCGCCTACCTCCGCGTGTCCTTCAAGAACACCCGCGAGACTGCCCAGGCCATCAACGGCTGGAAGCTCCAGCGCGCCGTCACCTTCCTCGAGAACGTCACCGAGAAGAAGGAGGCTGTTCCCTTCCGCCGCTACGCCGGCTCCATCGGCCGCACCGCCCAGGGCAAGGCCTTCGGTGTCTCCAAGGCCCGCTGGCCCGTCAAGTCCGCCGAGTTCCTTCTCGGCCTCCTCAAGAACGCCGAGTCCAACGCCGATGCCAAGGGTCTCGACACTGGCAACCTGGTTGTCAAGCACATCCAAGTCAACCAGGCTCCCAAGCAACGGAGACGCACATACCGTGCCCACGGTCGTGTATGTCCTCCACCCCTAGTCAACCCACCCCAGAGCGTCACTGACAGCCACAGATCAACCCCTACATGTCCAACCCCTGCCACATCGAGCTTATCCTCACCGAGGGCGAGGAGGTCGTCCAGAAGTCTGATGCCGTCGCCGGCCGCGAGGAGGTTCGCCTGAACTCCCGCCAGCGTGGTGCCCGCGTCCGCCAGGCCATCACCGCCGCATAAACGAACTCTTTCAGTAGATGGTCTTCGATTTTTGTGCGGTTCATGACGTGGGGGCGTTGCGAAGTGTGGAAACGCGGAACACCTGGGAGGTCTTGGGTTGATGGAAGCGTGGATCAACTAAAAATAAAACTTTGCGGCTTTTCATATGCTGGTGTACAGGAAGCCTATGGTCTCATGGCATTTAGGGATTGGCATGCGAACTCACACGCAACGGTCTGCATGGGCCACCAATAAACAAACATGCAAAAATGATTCTCCTAGGCGGCCCTAGTTACATCATGATTGGCGTCAATGGATATGAGGAAATTGCTTTCAATTCTGGTCAACAATTTTGGGGAACCCCGAGTCATCCGTACCCGGTGATGAGGTGAAGCTGCCTGTCTCCGTCTTACATCTGGTATCAGTCCGGTAGTATACATCCGACAACATGCCCACTTCAACGTCTTGCCATATTCCCATTCGCAATAGTCCTCCCATGGTATCGTAGTCCAAACGCCGAAGGGGCAGGTAAGTTACCAACAACCCATGGAAATGCACTTCCAAGCATCATTATACATACAACTTTTCATTATACAACCATGTCTATCACGCAGACTCAGCCCTGCTGCGCCGACTTGGTAATTGTTCCACTGAAGCGTCCTCTACCAGGATGCATGATGCCGTCTGTCTTGGCAGCTTCGATGACTGCTTCGTTATACACACTGGCCCACTCCGTATCCACGCCAAACGCAGTGGCCAGATTGAAGTGCTCCTGGCTCGTCAAGTGGTTAGTGATCTTGGCTGCCAGTCTATCGGTGCACACCTGCATGAAAGGCGCCAGCTCTCTGCGCCGCGCTATAACCTCCTGTGGCGCTTGCCTAGGAGAGTGTGCACCCAGGATGCCAGTGTTGTCGATAGAGGACACATCCACAAGCACGTAGCCGCACGACCTAAGCGATAGGTGGTTAAGCATCAAGGAAGTCTTCTCGCCGATGAGACCATGCGGACGCGGAATGAAAGAGAAACCATCGTCTCGTTGCACGGCATCATCTGCCCAATCGCTTCCGTCTGTTTCGTCTCCTTGACTGGCAAGTAACTCCTGGATTGAAAGCGCCGGTGAAAGGCGATCAAGGATGCCAGCCCACGACAACAGTCTCGGCTGTCTAAGCCGCATCCTGCTCCAGTTAGGGATCGGATCCGGCAGTGGGTGAGGGACTTGGTTCGCCGGCGGTAATGGAGGAGGGCCTTGAAGCAGTCCGGCACCTGCGATGCCCATATGATGTTGGAGCGGCGGCGGCACCACTGCGCCCGCTTGATTGGAGACCAGAGCCGGGAGCAAATTGGCTTGCGGTTGAAGAGGGGCGGGTGGCAATGCGGGCGGTTGCTGTTGAGCTGCCTGTTGAGTAACTTGAGCCTGTACCTGGATTTGAACGGCCGCCCCAACAACATGGGCATGTGGATGGAACACAGCATTCACGTGGCCTTGGTCCCGTGTGGGCGAACCTGTGAGAGATACGCTTTCTAATTCGAGTTTCTGTAACGAATGCTGTGCCATCGTCCGGAGTGCCTGGAGGAAGACGTGGGGTGTAGCATAGCAGTTCTTCAGCGAGAGGTGTTTGACGTGCGGCAGTGATAGTAATACGCCTGGCGATATTGCGGTTTCGGGGTGTACCATCTGCTCAGGCGAGCAAAGCGGAGCTGGAAGCACATAGAGGTTGCGCTGAGTCATGCCGGGTGCAAACTCGCCGCCGCAGATCCACTCGAAATGGAGAAACTTGATGTTCTGTTGCTTTGCGACGTGATCCCGGAGCAAGCGATGAACTTTGGCAACAGAATCCACGGGAGATACGAAGGTATCCTCGACGCAGCCAGGCGCCACCTTGGCTACTTGGCGCCAATCGGCGATAACGGCCAGAGCGACGTTTGTTAGGTTGGGCAAGCTCCGCCAAAAGTCGGGTCTCTGGAACATGAAGATGTGACTGCTGGGTATTTTGGCAATCGTTAGTGTTGTCAGCGAGTTGAAACTATTCAGCCGAGCGTTATCAATGAGCGCAATCACGTATGATTGAATGAGAGCTCGGTGTGCCCACTCTAACTCCAATAACATCTCCTTCTGCCCTCTTGTCAAGTTTCTGGGCTGAAGTGGGTGACCCACAGCCGTATCGTTAAGTGCCGCTACCATAGTCCGCGTGAAGTTGTTATCGTGCTCCTGATTAGGGGCAGCATTGACGTGGTGCAGGGCGACACGGTTGGTACCCTGGCTCTCAGGGTTGGCCAGAGCGGCGGCCGCTGCCGCGGTACGCTCATCGAAGTCGATACTTGTCAAGGAGACGTTCTCGGTGCTTAAGAGCATCACGATAGCGTCCCTGGATTGGTCCTGCGTGTATCCGGCATTCCTGACCATTGATTCAAGAACGGTATACTTGAAATCTCGGGGACTTTCGAAGGCGAGTTTACGCGCGTTCATAGCGTCCGAATCAGCTCGGGCTAGGCGTTGCTGCAGCGTTCGGTACCGCAAGTTGCGAAGGCCAAAGACGGGATGCGGTAACGGCGGGCTCTCCAACTGCTGATCAGGGCCCAAGAGGTAGCCCAGTCCTGCGTCGCAACACAGTCCAAGTTCCTGAACCTGAACCAGACAACTCAGGGCCTCCTTCATAGAAGCTGTCTCGTCGGCAGTCTGTTCCAGTCCCTCAAGTTCTGTGTATCGCAGGTAGGACTCATGAGGCCATCGGTAGATGCCCCAGTACGAGGTAATGGCCTTCTGGGTAGGCTTAATGGGTGGGTACGCAAGGCTCTCCTCGTCGATCTCGAGGGATAGGGCGAAACGCAGAATATGGTCGCCAAAAGATTGGAAAATACGCATGCCACTCGAAAAGAGCGTATCTTTGCCCGGCTGCGCCTGCTCATTGTCGTCGTCCTCCAGAGACGCCTTCTGTTTCATGGCCTGGTACATCTCCGAGCGGAAGGGAACCACGACATTACGAAAATACTTCGCCGAGACCATTCGATCAAACTCATGATTAACCAGACGGAGATTCTTAACGTCTGACCGAGACAGATATGTGGTGATTTCGTCAAATATTTCAACTGGGACCTTTGCGGGCGGCCAAGTGGGCAGCATCGGATCTGAGGCCATGGAGCCCTGGGAGCGAAGCCTGCGTCGCTTTCTGGGCATGTCGGAAGAGACAGAATCCCGGCTAGGCATGGCTATCGCGGATGTATCCCAGCATTGATGGAATGCGTAGGGAAGCGTTGATCGGATCGCAAAGCTTCGTTGAGGTTTGGGAGGGGGTTTGTGGCTCGGTAGTTCGGTAAGTTGGAGGCTCAGTCGGTGAGACACCGTTGATTTCTCAGAACGTTATATGCCTATTTAGCGGGCCGAACTTTGAATCACAGTTGAGAGGAGTTGTGGATGGCGTTGAGAAGAGTCGTGGTCGCTGTGGTAGTAGTCGGAATGGTATCGTCAATCGTCAAGTCGTTGAAATCAAGTCATAGCGAATGGGGTGGCTTTGGCTATAGCTATAGTGATGCTGTCTGATGTATACCAAGTTGCGCAGTGCAATGGAGCATTCTCACTCAGTTTTACAGCATTTTCCGCTTGGCGATATGCTAATTCGAGGTCTGGTGTTGGTTGAAAGGAAAGGCAAGGAGGGTGGGAAAAATAAGAGTCGTGAGGCACGTTCGGGATCCTCAGTGCAGGTATAGATAGGTACGTAGGTTAAAATGTACCAGGTCCACTGTGAAATGAAGTCACAGCAGCAGCAGGTTGCTGGCAGACCCATTTCAGTGGGGGAAAAGGGTCCTATGATTGGCCAGCATCAAAAACCTCAGTCCGGCATGTCGCCGGGCGCCGATCCGTTAGAGGTGCCTTTAAGCGGGGACGCATGTGATTTTTGGCAGGTGGCTGTGTTTGGCAAGGTACTTGCGGCGCTTGCTAACGTCAACTACATTAGGTAGGTAGGTCCAGATCTGTCTGTGGTCGTGAATTCAATTTCTCCCACTCACTTTTGGTTGGATCCATCCGGCCTCGTTTTACTCGTAGCACTTCTTACTGTCCTACTATACATCAGTCATGACCAGGTTTATTATTTTCTCTAGGTACCTACAAAAAATAAATAAGATACGGCAATCAATGTGCTCTGTCCTCAGTCTTCTATCCATCTACCCCACGCACTCTGAAGCAAATTGACACTCAGCTTTACTCGACCCCGTGGATACCAGGATAGATATCCTGATTTGGTGTAGATGGTTTCTGTTACATGACTTTCTAGTACATACATTGTACTACACCCTAGGGATTTATGGTTCACCAGTAGTAGCCTATCTGAAATCTAGCCACGTTCGTGGATCATTACACCTGAAAACACGCAAGTACTCAGTAGGCACGCCTATGTTATCAATTCTATCTGGTGACCAAATAACTGGCCGTCTCACTCTTTAGCCACAGGCTAGAATTACTAAAAGATGATCATTGCCGTAGGTTACATGATGGTATATCGAATCGAAGAGAACGGATACAAATATCTCGGAACCCGAGCACCCTAACGCCATTAAGCACAACAATACTGCCCTCCGTAGCTGTTCCCATCAAGGTGTTGAAGATTTGACGATCTCTTGAGAGGTGCCAGAGTAGAACCAGTATCTGCAGTAGTCAGTATTGGAGTAGTTGCACAAAAGCCCGTTTTACTTACTGTGTAGCATATTGTATCTCGAAAGCTGCAGGCTGGTCCTTGCATGAGACCGGAGCGCTGCCGCCGACGGTGTGTATCCTGTAGACCTCTTGGATATTTCCGGTACTGGGTTTTACGGTCTTCAGCCTAAGCCACGCAACAGCCGCCTCGCCGTGCTGGCCCGTTTGCGCTGTGAGAGGTGCCGGCATGGACGCATTCTTGGAGCAGTATGAATCACCTATAGGCGATCCATCTGTTTCGAGGATGAAGAGCGGCACCCCAGCGTCTGTGAAGAGGTGATGACCCGAGATGGCGAGGTTGCTTGGGCCGAGGCGGTGGTTCACCACCTCCTGCTCAGTGAGGTTGAAGTCCATGGCAACTATAGGCAGCTTGTCGAGCAGGTCTGGGTACAAGGAGCCGACGCAGCTAGCGTTGAAGAGCGTGGCGATGGCACCGGTAGCGACGGGCACCGCTGTTGCGTTGCTGGTGTCGCAGGTGTAGTTTTGTGTACCGCGGCCGATGGCGATGTGTGCCAGGGACATGCCCTTTCCGGGTCCCCCAAGAGACTCGATGGCGGCTGAAGGTATATCAGTATAAGCCAATCCCCAAAGTTGGGTTGCATCGCTCACATTCGGGCAGATTAGCGACAGATAAATCGCAGACCGGTGCGGCAGAAAGATACCGGGTGGCCTGGACCTTGGTTGCGAGCATGTTAAAGTACTCAGACATGTGCTCAATAGAGCCCGGCAGCGCGGCCTGAAGGTTCAACGTGGGGTAGGCTGGCGCAGCAAAAGCAAGAGATGCCAGAGCCGGCAACAAGAATGTTTGGCAATGCATGTCGATTGTTTCTGCGTAGGTACTGGTGAGGCGGAGTTGATGGCTCGGTAGGACGTTGACTATGAGTGGTTGTGCTCGTTCTGGAGATGGAATAACGACTCGAAATCCAATGCAGAAAATAAGACGGGACCAAGGAAACCGAACCTTAAGAGAAACCCGAGGAAATAGAGGACGAAAAAGAAAGGAAAAAACCTTCGTCTTACAAATGTATAAGATGAAGCGTATGGGAGGAAAAGCTGCCACAGGTTCCATTGTGTAAGCGGGCAGCCGTAACTAATATACCACAACATCATTAACAGCTTTCGTCGGCGGCAACGGCTGCCACTGGCCCACTACATGTCTGGACCAAAGGTAGGTATGGTGACCTGCCCATACTGGTATGGCACGGTATTCGTAGTTCAAAAAAAGATGGCGGGGAGGGGCATGGCCAGGGGTCTGTCCCTGAGTGTGCGAGGCAACGCGTAGGTATTCGCAGCATTTGGAGAACCAAGATCGGCAGCCGCCATACCAATGTAACCGTACAACGGGCGAGAAAGTAAAGAGGGGCAAGTCGATGAACGAGGGCGAATGAGCGGATGGGTGGAATGCAAGTGCTATCAGGGGGTGTGGGAGACCAGGCGATCTCCACCAGGGTCGGGGCAGATGCAAGCGCCCGGCCCGCTTCGAGGGCCTCGTTATGTGGTGACAGGTAGCGATGCAGTCCACGTCTGCTGCTGCACAAGTCTCGAGGCAATGTACTCGTGCGAATGTTGCGTTGTGTTGGGCTTCCAGTATTTGCTGTCCAGCAGAGGCCAAGCAATTATCGTGAACAGCCGCACAAGCACTTGGCTGACGAGACCGTTCGCTATTCGCCGGCGAGACTCAACTCGTCGGGCCATCTGCCGTCCGTTGACAACATTGCGCCGAGAAAAAGCCCCACCCAAAAAGCCGAGGGGCAACGAGCGCCTAAGAACCTGAAATAGCAACAACAATCGCGTCAATATGCCATCCTTATAGGATGGCCGAGATTACCAAGGGACAGTACCACCCTGTACGAATACCCGGTCGCTCCCCGGCGACGCGCCCATGTTGCATGTACCCGCTCTTGCGTGTTGGTTGCTTTTGCCGCGCTGAACCAGGGCTACGACGGCCTCCCATTGGCCCCTGCGATACACTCCATCTGGGCCGCCTTAACGGGTCGGCGCCAACGGCCCAGGTCGATTTGCCTGGCAGCTAGGAGGACTTTCCAAGGAAAAACAAGAATAGCATCTTTGGCGGGGAGCCACGCGCGCGAAACTGTCTTGGATCCATGCCGCCCAGCGCATCTCGGATCTTTGTGGGCGTTCCCACCCTTCCCCGGTAGCCGATATTCTCAAGTGATCTGGTATCTGTATTTTGACGAGAGCCTTCACTAATCCCACAAGCCATAGCACATGTCCTGATGCTCAATCGTACAGTTCTCCGGGAAACAAGTTTTGCGTACAAGCTGCACTCACGAAACAGCTCGTCGCCGGTCCAGTTGATGCCTCGTTCGCTTCCTTCTCTTTCGCCGATCAAGGTCATGTCACTGAATGCCTAGTGCCCACTGAACCCTTCTTCGTGCCAGTCGCCGTGGCTTTCGCCGACCTTTCCATTCAAACCCCCAGCGCCAGCGGCTGCTGCTGCTGCTGCCGCCGACTTGCCTAAGTTGCTGGCGTGCTTCTCCACGTCCACTGTGCCAAGCCAGTATAGGGAGCAGAAGACGAGCAAATGTAATGCAACACAGTACGCCGCGAATAGATTTCTGCTTGTGCGTGAGGCAAGCACCATCCGCGTTACCGAGTATACCACCCGCTCTGGGAAGCTCATTCGCTTGTAGGCCCTGGCAGATTCCCGACCGCGGAAGGCGGCAAATGGTGAGATGTTCGACTCGTACGCCTTTCGATATCTATCCATTGTGATACCCGGGTTCCCGCTGCCTCCAATCGAAACCGTCGACGGGTTGGGGTTGGATGAGTATGCTGCTGATGATGACGTAGCCGAAGGGCCCGCTCGGTTGTATGTCGAGACATACCTCGTCTTCTCGTACAGGTTGAGATTGTCCTTCTGCAGAGCCGATACCTCTTGCCTCAGCTGCGACACCGTGCGGTGGGTATTGGACAGCTCGGTCTCCAACTCGGTGATCCTCTTCTTGAACCGATCGCGCTGTGCCGTGATCATTGGCAGGATTCCTGAGCCGCCGCCCATCGGTTCACCGCCAGACATACGGGGGTCGATCCCACTAATGATGGATGATGTCGGCGATATTCTTCCCCCCCTTCGTCCCGGCGCAACCGACGGCGCGTAGCGGGTGAACGTCCCCGCTACGGACGCGCCTGAGGGGAAGGCGTTTGAAGTCTCCGATTGCAACGTCGCGAGATCATTTTCGAGACGTTCGTTGAGTTGCTGCGACTTCTCGAGCTCCATGTTGGTCCTTGACATCTCCTCCTGGAGATCGGACAGCTTCGTCTGGAGGTCTTGGTGAGACACACGCAGGATGGTGAGCTCGTCGCTGAGCTTCTTGTTTCGCGCCAGCAGTAGTTTCTCAAGCGTGTCGCCTTGGCTCTTGGTCTCTGACGCACTCTCAACAGCTTCCTTCACATCGTCGTCATCCCCTGTTGAAAATTCGATGCTCTTGAGCACCTCGAGCTCCTGCTTCACGTCTTCGTAGTCACTCCATTTCTGCACTTTAGCCTTCAGGTTATCTCTCTCGTCTTTGAGGAGGCCGACCTCCCTTTCCAGGCCGCGAAGACGGGAGTCTAAATCACGCTTGATGCCCTCCTTTTCGACCCGAGCAGCATCGAGTTTCCGGATGAGTGACGAGTTTTCTGATCGCATGCGCATGTAACCCGGGTCATCCTCCAGCGACGTTGGCGCTTGCGAGGTGACAGAAGTTTTTGCCTGTGCCAATTCCAGTCTCAGTTGCTCGTTTCGTGCCTCAACCTCGGCCAGTCGTGCGCTTGTCCGATCGAGGTCAGAATGAAGCATCTCGATCTCCGCGCTGGTAACATGGCCAGCTTGAGCCTCGGTGTTCACGTCATCCGTCTTGCCCAGACGCTGGTTGACCTCGTAGCTCGCCTTGATTTCGGTGAGGAGACGTTCCTGGTTTTCCACCTTTTCTTCCAATGTCCTCTCCTTCGCAGCCCAGTTGTCCTTCTTTTCGTCCAGAACGGCGACCCAAGAAGCTTCTACCTCCTTGACCCTGCTATCAAGGGTGCTTTCAAGCTCCTTCTTTGCGGCCGACTCTGTCTGCAGCTTCGACTCGGTGTCCTCTAGCTGCGTCGTCAGCTTGGCGACAGATTGTTGTAAGTGCTGGTTCTCCTCGGTTAGCTTCGGCAGGGTGTCCTCGGACACAAGCATCGATTCAACAGACGCCTCGAGCAGTGGGTATGGATCGGGAGCATCGGAGAGGGACGTGTATGCTTGGAGGAAAGCCGAGTTGATAGACTTTGAGTGATTCGTGAGGAGGTCGATAAAGGTTTGGTACGCTGGTTGGTTAGCGGGGAGGCTCTGAGCACAGGCAAACGACGTACCCTTCAACAAGCCCTTGATCTCAACCAGCTTTGTAGAGTCGTCAAGCTTTCGAAATTCCTTCGTCTTCTGGGCCAATTCTTTACGTTGGACTGTCGAGTCCCTCTGATAGGTTACGATTTCCGAGGCGGTGTTATCAAGGTTCGATATGAGGTTCGTGTAGTCAATGGCTGAATCGGTTAGACTGCACAGTAAACAGCTGTGTTTGGAGTTTTCTGCTCACTTCTCCAGGCCGAGATGGCATGCTGGAACTTGTTGCCGCCCTCGGGAAGATTTGGAGCGTCCAAGGGCTGCTGTGTCTGCCGGGCGTTGCCCTTGGCAGCTAGGACGGCCTCAACGTCTGCCATGTTGATTCGGGTTTCTCGATCGCAGCTTGGTAAATTACTTCATCACTGAGCGTATGTAGATGGTGGAAACAAAGAGGGTGGCGGCAGAGGTGCAGAGTCGTTTCAATGTGTCGAAGTCGTTGGGTGCAGCTGGCGTCGTAAGGTACGGAGCGAAGGTGTTTCGGCTGAGCTCGCCGTTCGGGGAACGTGTTCCCTCTCCGGGCAGCAACCTGATTGGCTGTGCATATCCATGTCGTGGTGCACAGGCAGCAATGATCGTTTCCGCCCCTATGGAGCCACCCCAGACACATGCCTGTGCCGGTAGGACGGCAACACGGCAGGCCGCTGCAGGAAGGTAATGGAGCATTTTAGAGTGGTGTTCCATGTAATCCACCATCTGCTCACCTAGCTCTGAAGCTTCTCAGCCGCATCGTGATTACGGTACTCCAACTTCACGTCGCAGTCCAGCTCCGCGCAAACGAGACGACGCCACAATACACCCTACAATGGCATTGCGGCACTCATGATACTGCGATTGACTCAAAATGGCATCAGAGGATCCAGACAACCAAACCTCGACTGTGCCTGGGAGAACCAATGCGATGGCAAATGACGGGCCCTTTGTCTTGCGTACGTTGCTGAACGAGGTGCCCTTGTCGGCAGATGGCGCTGCAGAGGGGATCAAGATCAACTGTGTCGACTATTTAGGTAATAGAAGCCTGGTTTCCCATCAAGCCGATTACCGTGCTGACCCTCTCATGGCTAGACCACAACCTTTACGTAGGCACGAGCGCATCCGAACTGCTTCACTTTGTCCAGATCCCTCCCGACCCAAACGATCTAGCTGGACAACCGTCCTTCATACTCGCCTCCCGGTTGCGACCAGCTTTTGCCGAGACTAGCAACTCCCGCCCCGGCATCCAGCAGATCCTTCTCCTTCCCAAGGTTGGAAAAGCCTGTGTCCTCTGCAACTGGACCGTCACATTTTACTCGCTCCCTGAATTCAGCCCGGTATTCGGAACTACCCAAGTCAAGAATTGCAACTGGGTTGGTGGTGTCGACTTGAACGACCCTCAAGATGACGCCGGCGACCCCTCTGCGGGGGTCTTCATTTGCTTGTCTTTGATACGGAGGATTCAGGTTGTGAGGATAGGGGAGGTCGCACGAGCAGTCAAGGTAACCAAGGCTTCTGCTCCGAGTGCTATCATGAACTAATGGCAAGCTAGAATATCGACGTACCCGGTACCACAATATCAATCCGCCGGGACTCTATTGCATGTGTGGCAGACGCCAGGAGCTACTCTTTACTCGACGTTGACAGACAGTTGCGGATTCCTCTGATGACTATCTCCTCACTAGATGACTCGCAACCAGCTGGAGAAATTGGCCAGGCTCAGGATATTGCCGGAAGCGCCGACGGTGGGATATTGCGGAGCGTCTCGGCAGCGCAAAACCGGCCGCTCCTGTCTGCCGGTGACCACCACGGCCATGCTAGAAGCACGAGTCTCGGAGGTTTGCTCACCGGCGGACGGATAGACCCCGGCCCTCGATCAGCAGACGACCGCGCAGTCCAAGGATCGTCGCCCCCAATACGCTCTACTAGCCCTAGGCCTTCGGGCGAAGGATCTCAGCCCTCACTGACAGACAAGCCTCTGCCTGCTGCGCCTAGAAGTGGTCGGGCAGAGACCTTGCCGACGAAACCAACTCCTGTCTTCCTCAAGCCGCACATTGTTTCGCCAACCGCCGAAGAGTTCCTCCTTGTCACTGGTACAGGCCCATTGGATCCCGGCATTGGAATGTTTGTGAATCTCGACGGTGACCCCACAAGGCCAACAATCGAATTCGACAGGTACCCTAGGGAAGTCGTAGTTGATGGTGGATCACCCGACCTCTCAACGTCGAAGATGTCGCTAGAGGTAGACGAGGAGGGGTACCTCATTGCGTCCATGACAAAAGACTCTAACACAGGATTGCGCCACGGCCTAGAAATACAAAGATGGGACGCCGACGGAGCGGAGCCAGAGACTTCCAAGTGGTGGCTTGAAGCAGACCCGTCTGGAGGACACGAAACGACGCCGCTGGGTATTCGCTCGCTAATGGGCACCGATGAAACCCACTTTGAAGAGATCGTTGACAGACTCTGCCAAAGGAAGTTTTCACCCTTTTCTGGAGGACTCCCTGAAAATCCCATATTCTCGCCAAAGAGTGCCGACTCGCGTACAGCGTCGTCATTGGAGCAGGTGATCAAGGAACGAGAGCTTTTTGAGCGCGACGTTGATTCACAGGACGAAGAGGCTCTACCCGAAGACTGGGAACAAAGCAGAAACGCTGAGGAGGAACACTTTGCACGACGGCTGGCAAACGCTAAGTCCAGGATAGCAGTGTGGGCGAATGACCATATCTGGTGGGCGATTCGAAATCCCATGCTACTGCGGTTGGAAGCAAGGCTGGAAGCGGCATGCGAGCAGAATGGCACTTTCAACCCTGCGAATCTGGACCGAACAGCAATCTTTACGGTGCTCAATTCATTCAGGGGACAGGATGCCAAGTCTGAATTAGAGTTCGTCACCTTCAGTTATCTGCGACAGCGTGCTGGGGTCCTGCTCCTTACCAACTTGTTGCATGCGGAAGAGACACCCTTTACAGACGCAGAGCTAAAAGCGTTGGAGGAGGTCCTTGTGGACAGCAGCCTAGATCCCCGCGTCGTCTTGTCATTACTACCTGGTCTGCGGAATGAGATTGTGGAGAGCCGTAAAGGGATTTGGATCTTTGGCGGTGTCAAGAGAACAACGGAAGACTACCTGGAGAGCGAGCATTATAAAAATGCCAGCCACACAATAGGGACTCTCGGCAACAAGGTCATGCAGTTCCTGAGACGGTTCCTAACTGCATGGAGGAAGAAGAAGGGATTCGGCAGTGTGGCGGACGAAAGCGAGGTGTTTCGGACGGTCGATGCAGCGTTGTTGCTGGTCCTCCTTGAACTCGACCAGGACTCGCCCGTAGGACTGGCCAAAAAGAGCTCGTCGGTCAGGTCAGAGCTGTACGACGTCGTTGACAAGGGAGTTGACTGTTTTGAACGAGCTGCCTCCCTTTTGGAATCTTATCGCCGTCTATTTGTGCTCAGCCGGTTGTATCAGAGCCGCAAAATGGCCGGCGACGTTCTCGCGACCTGGAGACGCATCATCGAGGGCGAGCCCGATCACGGCGGCGAACTACGAGACGGCGAGCAACGTGTTCGGGGGTATCTGACAAAAATTAGCAGCCAAGCCCTTGTGCGGGAGTACGGCGTTTGGCTCGCGAGTCGTAACCCGAAGCTGGGCGTGCAGGTTTTTGCAGAAGACAAGGGAAAAGCGCCCCGGTTCGACCCGGCAGAAGTTGTGAGAATTCTGCGTGAAGAGGCACCCGAAGCCGTTAAGTACTACCTCGAACATTTAGTCTTTGGCAAGGGTCACTCAGGTTATGCCAACGAACTCGTTGCATACTACTTGGACATTGTTATCAGCGATCTCGAGTCCTCCCAGGAGAGCCGAGACGCGTTGGCCGGCACATATACATCATACAGAGCATTGCAGGCCCCCAAACCAACATATAGACAGTTCCTTACGGACAACGCTCCTGAAGACGACGAGGTCTGGCAGAGCCGCCTACGTCTACTACAACTCCTTGGAGGCGGTCACCAATACGACGCTGCAGCAATTAGGGAGCGCATCGCAACACTGCCGGATGAGCTTCTTGTACCCGAGACCATCATTCTTGATGGTCGAGAGCGGCGTCACGAGGATGCTATCCGGCTACTCGTTCACAAGCTGGGAGACTACGACACAGCTGTCTCGTACTGCCTACGCGGCGGCTCCAGCATCTACACGCGGCCTGACGGCAGACGGGAGAGCACGCCGACGCACGACATGCAAGCCCGGCTATTCCGGGCGGTTCTTGGTGAATTCCTCGCCATCGAAGATGTCAGCGATCAGATTGAGCAGACAGGTGCCTTGCTGGAGCGCTTTGGTAGTTGGTTCGACGTAGAGGATGTTCTCGCCCTCGTCCCCGACGAGTGGTCCGTCGACGTCGTGGCCGGATTCCTTATGACGGCGCTGCGCCGCATCACGCAAGAGCGGCACGAAACAACAGTCACCAAGGCACTTAGCTCAGCGGAGAATCTGCGGGTGAACCATGACTTGATCGTCAAAGTGGACGAAAAGGGCCCGTCGATCGAAGCCCCCAACTAGCAGACCCTGTCTGGGCCAGGGAACCGTGTTGATGTAGATAGCCCCCAAAGTGGATATGACGGTAGTAAGAACAGCACGATGATAATGATTACGTCTCCAAGCAGAAGTTTGTTGTTGCATTCGTCGGTGAGCATGCGCACTGGGCGTTCACCTAGTACGCAGGGTAGGCGGCCATGGTCATCCGTTCCCAAGTCTTGAGGCGTGTATAACGGGCCTCGCCAACCCGGTTCCTGTCATACCTATATTCCATAGCCAGAGGAAGACAAAGAGCTAACATGGCAGGCCACTCAACATGATGTCATATCATATGCTCGTGACGCGCATTTGCCTTGGGTAGGCCGTTACCGCTTGTGCCCAGAAATCCTAGACTGCGGGTGGAGCCAACATCGTGAGAACGACACGGGGGACGGGCTCGTATTGAAGATTAGGACTCGACTCGAAGGGAGCGTTGTCACAACAGCCAGGCCCTCATCGCTTCCACCTTGGACTGCGGCTGCGAGTCACATGCTCATATACCCAACACTTTTGAGGCATTGACCGTGCTGTGATTCTTTTTTATCGGAGGATATTAGCGTCGAGAACGACGGCACTCGGCCGTAGCTGGCCGCTACGGCTGGTCTGTCTTGCCAAGGGCGAAGGCGAAGAATGGGAATAACGTGGAACCACGACGCCCCTCTCTGGGGCTGATATCCTCATCTCTGCAGAGCCAATCACTGAGCAAGATAACGATGCGTGTCATAGTCGGCGGACGAACAATGTGGGGTGGACATCAAAACCCAGCTACGATCTCGAAACTGCATGCATCCGAGGACTCAAGGAAAGAATGCGTTGAGCCGGCCACACTAGATGACCGCTTCAGTGAGACAAGACGGGGAATCGCTCGTGATATGAAGAGATCGGCGTGGAAGAAAAGAGAACGAATCGATAGAGAATCGGACGCTGGTTTTTGGAAACCAGACCATCCTATCGGGCAGAGTATCAGAAGCAAGACGGTTTTCTTCATCTACCATCGAAGCTCCCCGTGACTCGTTGCGGCCCAAACGCCCTTTGAAGCATGAGTTTCGCCGTCAATCTCCCACAAACCTGCATCCTCTCCCACTTTCGCGTTTCGACTACAGCCCGAGCTTCGCACGCAGCATACTGGAGAACTCAAATAGCTCTAGTCCGATCTCAAGCTACCAGCTTATAGTTAGGCTTGCAAATGAACACGACGGTCGAGCTCGAGCCATGTTATTAATAGCCTATAGCATGCCACATTCTCCCAGTAAGCCAATTAGGATGCGTAGCCAAGCCGAGGACGGCTGAATGGGCGAGAAACCCAATGCCCAGCTCAGCCGCACCGGGGGCACGGCATTGCGCGGGCGCATGTCTGGGGAAGTTGGCTGCTGTGCGGGCGCTTGACCTCCATCTCCGCTTCAAGAGCGAGGAAAAGTTCATCCAGACAAACAAGCGCGAAGGCGAGCTGAAAGGCGTGCCCCTGACGTCGTACGTGTCTTGGAATAGGGCTGCGGCCCAACAAGTGACGCAATCCACATCAGCGTGTGCCTGTCGTTTATAAGTGGATGCACATCCGTCGTCTCGTGCTCACGCAGCAGCAGCACCACCCTCACCCTCACCACCGGCGGCAGCAGTCTTGCGCTTCAGCACGGCGCAGACCAGCCATCTCTTCCGGATAGTCGGGTCCTCGAAGCCTCTGTCCCAGGCCCACTCCCTTTCCTGACCATCACAGTCTCGTTCCCAAATCGTCTCGATTTCAAGGCCGGCCTCAGCCAGTGCCGCCTCCCCAAAGAAGTCGCGCATCTTGGGCCGACCTGTATGGAACCCGGCGACGACCCAGCACCTAGCTTCGCTATTATTGCGGAGAAACCAGTCGATCGACTTGTGCAGGTTCGTGTGCTGCCATGGCATCCACAGGCAGTCGGCGACGAAGACCCGGTCAAAAGCGTGCCTATTGGAGACTGAGAACGAGTCTTCGAGCTCGCCCCACGAGTGACCCTCGACAAGCACCTCACGAGCCTCTATGGTGTTCTTAGGGGAGACAGCCGGGACAATGTTGCGCGCAGCGTTTGCGCGGAGGGTCTTGAGAACGGCGGGGGCTGGATAGTCCGTCACAGCGACGCGGTCGGCGCCGAGGAGGGCAGACATGATGCTCGGCAAGGCCGTACCCGCACCCAACTCGAGGGTGGTCTTGCCACGAACGTCGAAGTGGCTTATGGGCGGACCCAGAGGGGACGTGATGGCGCCATTGAGCTTCAAGGTGGCGGCCTCGACGAACTCGCCGAGCTGTAGGCTGGCGTTCCAGAGGTAGTGACTGAAGAGTTTGCGGTCGTCCTCGGCGCTGGGCTCAGCAAGTTCGAAGAGCAGGGGCTTGCGAAGATGCGGAGAAGCGTACTCGATACCGTGGTCAGCGTCGCCGTGCTGATTCGTCACGTCGTCAGGAAAGATGACGCCGAGGGAGGTCATGAGGAAGTCTTCGGGTGACTCGGCGGGCGGACCGACAAGGGAGATGCGGGACGTGAGCGCCATGGTGACGGGCCCGGGGAATCACGGAGGGACTGGGTGTAAAGAGCGCTGGTGTATGTGGAAAGGATAGGATTTTGGATCGGGCGGGGGGTGGGCTGGTCGACCGAGACACCAGGAGGAGGAACGATACGGGACCAAACCGAAACGAGCGAGAGTGATTCCGACGACGACGACGACGACGACGACGATAACGCAGCGTTGAGTTCGTGATGGGGATGAAGATGACGCAACGGGGGGGGGAATTGTTCGCGTTGTGTGTGGGCGTGGGTGTGTGTGAGAGGGGTCAGTCGGCATGGCGGGGTTGTCGGGCATTGACTGCCCCGCCATCAACCATGGTGCGCGGCGAAGCGCGGAAAAGACAACACCAGCATACGATCTGCTAACAACCCAGCACGGCCTGTGTTCCAGCAGAGAACAAAACAGAACAAAACAGAGTAGAGCACGCGCGACGGGATCTGCTGTGGAGATGGGCTGCCGAAACTGGAATTGGGTCGTGGCGGAAACTCGCAGCCGGTTGGAACGCAAATAGGCAGCCGTCTGATCTTCTTCATCTAGATGAGATTTTCAGCCTCGACACACGGCATGAAGACGAAGGTGGGGGGCATTACCCCCGCAGCGAAGAAACATGAGGTAAGCAGCTTATACCCAGGCGGAAAGAAAGTCGTCAGCGGGTTGTCCGGAATCCCGGGGGAGGCGGTGCAAACAGTGATTCCCCATGATGGCCGCTGCTGTACTATTATCGTACAGTACAGTACCTGATGCGCTACAGGCGGTGTGTGCTCCTGAGTAAGGTTATGCTAAGCTTTCCGCCACGGGGGACCCGCTGGCCTACCTACAACGTATCCGTATGTACCTGTAGGAGGTAAAGTGCCCGTAGGTACCGTGCAAACCCCGCTCCACCTCACTCAACCGGGCTCCCTCCCTCTCCTCTCCGTCATCATTCACTGCCACCGAAAACGACCAACCCACACCGCACCAACGAAAGTCGGTCTCACCGGACGGCCCACGTCGGTTTCGTGGCTGTGGCTGGCTGTGCTGCTTGCTTCCCGCGAATGAACCCACCCACCCTCCAACCCTCTCCTCCCCCCCTAAGCGATGCTGGCTTTCTGTGCATGCACGCTTATGCGTGGCTATTTTCGATTTTTGACCATTGAGTTGGGTCATCTTTACAGGCCTCGCGGTCCATCACAGCCCCCCCCCCCCCCAGTGGACCACACCCACACTCAAACCACCGCAGGCACTTACCTGTACCACACAGGTGCAGGCAGCCCACTCTCGCCAAACAAACAAATGTTGCACAATTTGCTGGATGGAGTCATCTTCCCCTTGTCTGCCACCTCACCCGGTTTCTCATGGCCGTATTCCTTCGAAAGCCGGATGGCCGAGGCAGACAGAGCGGGTCAGTTGTTTCAGGTCAAGCGGTTGCCTAGGACCGATGGGGTGCACATCGTGATATATCCCAAGAATTACGACTTACCCGACATCGGCACGATCCAGCCCAGTGATGCTGGCTACCTCTCTATCAATGGATTGTGTCGCACGCAAGTATCCATTCTCAATGTCTCACAAAAAGAGAAAACATGAAGGGGGGGGGGAGAGAGAGAGAAGCATTTCGTATTGAACCATCAAGCCGTCGGCCATGGTTTAGGGTATCAATCAGCACACCGTCCCCTGGTGCAAACACACGCATACATGAAGCTGTCCCATCCAGTCGTGAATATCAAGCCCAGATTCCTCCTCGTAAACCACACGATGTATAATCCCAGTTTCTGCGCCTGCCATGCTCTCTGACAGGGAAGATTTCCCCCGCTTCTTTTGCTTCCGTGTAAATCAAAGCGATACAAACGCCCGCCATCGTCTTCCATTACCGAGATGCCTGACAGCTCTCGAGCATCTCGTGCATCTGCCGAATCTGCTCTTCGGTGGGATCATCCGAGATCCATGGGCCCTTCTCCTCTTCGGTCGCGCCAAGGAAGCCCTCGGCCCGCTTCAGCGTCTGCACGTCCAGGTCCGTCACGTAGTTGTTGCCGTCCGATAGCTTGATGCGTACTTCGTGGTCCGTCGACAGCATCATGTCGTCTTTGGCCAATCGCCGGGGGCCCTCAAACACGGCCATGACACGCTTCTTCATCGTCATCTGGCACTTGTCGAAGCCCCACGAAGACGGGTAGTCGCGGCGGTTCTTGCGGCCCTTGACCTTGAGGGGGATCGGGCCGCCGCCCCGGGAGTGAGTGAGGCCGCGTGACTTCTGTACTCCGTTGACGGGGTTACCCTTCCTCTTGGTCGGCGAGTTGGTGCGGAGCTTGCAGTCCTCCTCATCATCGTCCTCAGCCATGTCGTCGTCCTCCTCCTCCTCCTCCTCCATCGACGGCATCTGCGTCTGCGTGGGGAGGTGGTTCTTCTCGAGCGTCTGGTGCACCTCCTTGTCGTTCTCCACCTCGGCCAGGCGCTTCGCGTTGATGGCTTCGGAGGGATCCTCCTGCTGGACGATGCGCAGCACGCAGTCGTCCAGATGCTCGTAAAAGTCCTGAGCGTTCGAGAAGGTCTGCGAGCAGGTCGAGCACTTGCCTGTGGCATCCGGAGGGTAGCCGGCAAGTTTCTTGCCGCTGCTGGCGCCTGTGCTCTTCTTGCGGCTGTTGGGCGGCGTCTGCTCGACGCCGTGGACAGCCGTCAGGTGGCGCTTGAAGACGTCGGCGCGGTTGAACGACTTCTCGGCCGCAGAGCCAGAGCCGGGGCAAAAGCCGCAGACCATGGTGCCCTTGTAGTGCGTCAGGGTATGGCGGTTCTTGTCATACTTGCGCGCGAAGCCCTTGACGTGGTAGTCACACGTCACGATGGGGCACTTCTCGGGGCGCTCATTCTGATGAGTGAGCATGTGCGCCTTGAGGTCTTTGAAGGTCTTGCCGCACTCGGGGTGGGGGCATCTCTGCTTCTCCTTGCCCTCGTCGCCGCTGTAGTTGTTGCCATCCGAGTAGTTGGAGGGGAACGAGTGCAGGCTGGGGCGGCGAGCACCCGCGGGTGTGGCGTAGGGGCCGAAGTGCTGAGGCTGGGGCTGCTGCTGCTGCTGCTGCTGCTGCGGCTGGAAGCCGCTGTGAAGGAATGGCGATTGGCTGCCGTTGCGGACAATGGACTGCGATGACGCAGAGAGCGCTGGCGATGCAGGATACTGGTTGGGGTTGTGGAAGGCGCTCATGACCATGGGACGGCTAATGTCAGGGTGGATGAGGGAAGGGTCTGCAATGGCGGAGGGGTGGTTAGCGCACGACTCTTTGCGGAGGACGGTCGTGCTTGACAGAGGAAAACCAACAGGAGGAAGCAAGAGGAGCGATGAAATGACCGCTGCTCTGAGAAAAGAAAGTAGAAACGCGCGAATTCTTTGGCGAATTGCTCCAGGCAGGCGCCGGAGGAGAAGAGAGAGAAGAAGTCGGAGAGACAAAAGACAGGCTGGACTTGCGCGAGGCGGGCGTGACAGGCGACGAGGACAGTCGAGCGTCCAGCGCCAAGCCCGGCTCGCGGACAGTAGGAAAAGAGCCAACAGACTGGCGAGGGGATGGAGAAGAAGGAGCCTCGTGAGACGAGGCGGCAAAAGCGGAGTTAGAGACGTTTGGCAACTCACCCACGAAACCCGGAGGCTTGGTGTTCGCAAAGTCAAAAGCTGCGAAGTCTTCCATAGCTGGGCCGGCGTAGGTCGAGTACTCGGTACCGGTGGTGTTGTAATAGTCGTGGGGCACGATGCCGGGGGTCAGGGCGATAGCGGGATGCGCCCATTCGTGGACGAGGGCGGGCTGTTCGTGGTGAGATTGCGGCGAGCCCACGTTGGAGGAGGCCGCCGAGGGAACGGAAGTGGTGGAGAGGTTGGATGAGGGCAATTGGAACTCGGCGTCCTCGTAGAGGCCAGGCGACGTGCGGCTTTGGTACATGAAGTTGTTGTCGTAGAGGGAGGGCGCGTCCATGGCCATGGAGGTTGGGTACGTGTAAGAGGCGTCGGCAGGGATGCTCATCTCCAGGGTTGCTGAGCTGAAGACTCCCTGTGGTGGCTCAGGGTAGAGGACGTAGTCGTCATGCTCGGAGCCCAGGTGCTTGGGGAGCATGGTATATGATTGGTTTATCGAAACCATCTTGGAGCGAGAGAGAGAGAGAATGAGGAAGTGAGGTTTGCTGGTGAGCTATGTTGCTGCCGATCAAATGCGAGGAGGCGGTTGTGGGTGATGTTATATGGTTGGATGCTTTGCTTGACTGATATCGCGCTGTCCGAGCAAAGCCACAATCGCTGTACCTTATGCCGTCACTGCTTGATGGCTCTCGGTTAGTTCGTTGTACTCGGGGTATTTTCAGGGCCCTCTCTAAGCAAGTAGACTGCTGCGCTGCTGCGCTGTGCTGCGCCTGCTTTCTTGTGGGGCTGATGAGCGCACCTGCAGCAATGTTCATGCCCGCGGCCTTTCCGCGTGCTATGTAAGATGTCGTAGTAGCGTCCTGCTTCTTGGAGGCTCAAGTCTTCTCGACACTAGCAAAGAGAGGACTGGCTGCGTTTAGAAGGAGGAGTAGGAAGAGGAGACGAAGAAGAAGGAGAAGAAGAAGACGACGAAGAAGTGGAAGGCCGAAGCAAAGACAGTGGAGTGTACAATGTCTTTGTCCAAGCGTGAGAGAGGCAAGATGGTCGTCGTTGTTCGTATTTGGTGTCGATGGGACCAAAGATTCGGGACTGATGATGATTGTAAAGACTGGCGGGAAACAACCATCAAGTGCCTTGGGGCCTTCACGACTGATATAGATCCGGCCACGAGCCGCGCTGCTGTTGACAGAGACACCACGACTTTTAGACCGGGGGAGGGGAGGCACATGGGTTCGACGGCCATGGCTTGCTGTTGCTGGCACTCAGGACCCAAGAGGGCGTGGATCAACTTTCCCCTCCACATGGTAATGCCCCCCCAGGAGGAAGGAAAAGGACCAGCGCCCAGCGGCCAGGGACGGAATGGGGGGAGGGGGGGCGTGGCTTCCTGCAC